TTTAAAACGCCGATTTCATTAGCGGAATCAATAATAGTCAGCAGCGGCTCGAGTCGCGCTTAAATCTCGTCGTAAATCACGGCGAATAAAACGGGATGGCCATTTTGTGAATGGCGCTTTCGTCGTTTTTCGCCTATCCTCTCGGCCGCGCGACCGCGTGCCCGATAAGCGGCGACTTCGATTCGCGCGGATAAAATATCAATTTGAGAGATACGAAACTTGTGTGACTGTCGCATATTTCATATTTTGTTATAGTACCTTTGCTCCTTCTTACTTCCGACTCCGCGGCGCGGTTATCCGAGCGAAATTTATATGCGTCCGTGAGCTGGAAGTCTCTCGAAACTTTTCGCGTAGCGAAAATCCTGGAACGGAGAGACAAAATCGAGTCAAGTCACGGCGGAGGGGCGCGGAGTGGAAAATGCGGATTATATGTCCGATCAGCGGGACAACGCCGAGATGTGCTCCCGGCGCGCACCAGAGCACACACCAATACGAAATGAAAAGAAAACAATTTACCTGAGGGGAGCCGCGGTGAAAGCCGGTGAAAGCCTCCGGCGCGGCAGTCGATATCCCGTGCCGCATTGAAACGGCATGCAAATTCGGACGCGAATTAGTGTCGTGTGCCGGCGCGCAAACGGTAAAGCGCGTCCCGCGATCACGGGCCGACCGCGCGGCGGTAAAAGCCCGCAACGGGACGGCGATCGATCCGGGCGGCTTTTTAATCCGTCGTATTAAAAGGATTATTACCTCGTCCCTCGGCGACTCGACGAAGCTCCCGACGGGCCGTCGACCGACGTTCGAAAACCGCCCCGACTGCGCCTGAACATGTCGCGCTTCGCGCCACTTCGCGCGCCAAATAGCGAATGAGGCGAATGCCCGGCGCGCGGCTGGCGCGCCAACGCCACCAACTTCACGGTAGCGACATCTCGCGTCGGCGCGGTGAAACCAATAGCAACTCCGTCGTTTCTGTCGAAATAAGCGGATAAACAAACCAGATGATAACATTAAATTCGAGATTTAAAAATATAGGCCTGTTTTTTATAACCGAACTGCTGCACTAATTCATCTTTCTCTTTCTACGTTGGAAGAAGAAAGATAAACTCTGAACTAGTGTAGCCAGTTCAGCTATAAAAAACAGACCTTATATGAGAAAGAGCTAAATGATAATGTAAAATATCGGAAGTGAAATTTGTGTAAAAATACATTAAAAAAAACGGAAAACAATTACAAATGGCGTTCTACATCGCAACTTTTTCCATGACAGATTTATCGGACAATCATTTATAAAAAAAAAGTAATCTTTTTAACTGTCGATTAAATTAATTAGATAATTTAATGGGATGTGCAGGGGGGGAAGACTTTAGAAAGCAAGATCGTTCAAAACCGACCTGTAAAATTGTAGGTCGCCTATGAATATAATTCTGTATGAATATAATTGAATGATCTTTGAATATAAAATCAGAATGAATGCGGCTTATTTCGCAAAGGGAAACGAGAGAGACAGAAAGACCTCCAGGATTGGATTTTCCCTCGATTTAAGCTTGCTTTCTCCACTAAAGTGTGTTTGCACGCGAGCTCCGTAGCTCGTTCTATTTGTACAGTCTATGATCGGACGTGGAAGTTCGATTTATTTCGATTCATATTTGCAGTAACGCCGAGTAACGCCACGCGCCGCGCGTTGTTTGCTACTATATATTGTACGCTACACGTGTCCTCACCTCGACTCCGAGTATTCCGACATCGTTGCTACATAATCGCTAACCTAACCTACAATCTACATTCGTGAAAACTGATGACCGCTAACGTATTTATGCGGTTTTATATCGATATTTAGGCAGGCAGCTGTGTGCGACAATAAATAATGGCGTCAGGACTGGAGAGCTACGTGAATCGTATCCTTTTTATCGTAACAATTTATTGTTCGACTAAGTTGTGACGAGCATAACATAAATGTATTAACCTTTAACAAACCGATTCAGACACAGTTTCCATCATCACATCGGACGGTAGGAATTTTATTGTAAGTACACAAATTCGCAAAATCACGATTATTTCGATTTACATACATATACAAGTTAAAGGCTTTCATAATTCCTTTGTACTTTGCTCGCAAATGTAATTGCGGTGAACAGTAGAATATACTATGTTTACGTTTCATATAACATTCAGGATTATTGAAAGTATTTTTACAAAATATTCATACGATCTTTGATATTAAAGTTTTATTTATCGGCAGAATGTAATTATACTTGCTAAAAAATATGAAATATCAATACAATGTTAATCATTGCAGATCTTTAATAATACCTTATCAATATATTTTGTGCTTCAAAAATTTGACTACATATTCTTTCAGAATGTTTCACAATTGCATTTTACATTTCAAAACTTTAAATAATTGCACCCTGGCAAAAGAATAAAATTTTAATATCAGAAACTGCAACTTCAATATCCATCGTAATGATTCTTCAAGCAGAACTTTTGTCTTAGGGCACACTAAAAGGTTTCGATCAGACTATCAATCTAATTTTGGACGAATCACATGAACGTGTATACAGCACTACGCAAGGAGTGGAGCAGGTTGTCTTGGGTTTACACATTATCAGAGGCGATAACGTGTCAGTATAGCCTCTTGAGATAAATACACAAAGTAGTTTCAATAATCATAATTGCAATATGATTGTTCCTTTTATTATTACATTATTCGTTACTAGAAAAATATAGAAAAATAATTTTACTTTGCGCTAACATTTATGTGAAAATAAATATGTAACATAAGTATTCGTTAAAAATTTCACATCACTTAATCACGTTGTGCTGCTTTTTCAGAGCAATAGTAGGAGAGTTAGACGATGAGATGGATGCAAGATTGGATCTATCGACAATACGAGCTGACCCCCTAAGTTCTATCATACATTAAGGACTGAAATCTTGCAATTGGAGTCATCGCCTATTCTCGTCCAAATTTAAAATAAAAAATCAATCGCGAGTATTAGAAAAAAGTAATACAACTTTTCATATAGGTCGTATATTGTACAAAAATTTTCCATTTCTCATATATAGACGTTTACCATATAATTGTATTTTAAAAAGTGCACAGAGTTAATACAGCGGTATTTACATCATTGAAACAAACCGAAAAGTTTGCGTTTGAATCAACAACTCTCGTCTGTACAAAAATCTTGCTATATATAATATAATAATAAACTTTACTCTTTACAAATGTAATTTTCGCTCTATATCTATATATAATGTAGCAATAATAATAAAGAAAAATATGTAGATTAACATCGAATAAGATTTAATTCAGCGTAAGTCTTAATATTCTGTATTTATTCTTAGATTGATCTTAAATAACGTACGGCTATAGAAATTTCTGCATTGTCGCAGAGCATTTAAGTTCAGACACGCAGGTCTGTACTACTAAAAAAATCAGTGAAGGATCTAAGTAATTAACCTGCATCGGAGGTGTGCGAGAGTACAGAATATTATATATATACTTCGACATGATTTGCATATTCCCACGATAAAATCACTCGAAGTAATATTGGAATCTACACATACTCGCGTACCTTCCTGTTTTTTTTTAAAGCGTAGAAAAGTACTTCGTTACATGTTTTGCAAAATCGGTATACATTCATTTCTTTCTTTACAAAATATTGCAGTTTCACCTTAGAATCCCTACATCTCCGCGACACGTAAATGGACAATGTCGATTTACGAATCGCAGGTGCCAAATCGTGAAAGAGATAACGCGCGGGTCTCGAGAGACCGCGGGGCGTCTACATGTCACTTTGTGGAAGACAACGAAATTATCGATTCAATCGTCTCTGTCCGCTGAACGTCTCACATGCTCGTTTCTTCATTCTCGATTAATTACTTCGGCGCGCGACTTACGTGTGCTAAGTGTCTTTTCGTAGAATCTATTTATTGTAAACGAGTGGATACACATTCGTCATTGTCTATGTATAAATATCTCTTACATTATGGACTTACGTGTCTAATTAATATTCTTGAGAATTATGCAACGAATTATAAACAAGAGTGATGGATCCGGTATGTTCCGAATGTTGGAATACACTGACTTTCGTGTGATACTCCAAAGGAAAATTGCACGTGTATGAGCATTATATGCGATAAAGTTTCTCATTTATACTTAATATAATTTAAGAATTACGTACAATAAGCTAAATCGCTCAACAATTCTCAATCTATCGATCACTATCGTCAAACGTTCAGCAATATATCATCAAATCTTCCTCTTGAGTCAATTCTACAGATTTAATTTTATATATATATAAATATAAATCAAAGATACACATATAGATAATTATTTTTTGTAAAGAATATTTATAAATATTTACATACATATTTTTATAGATTTGTAAGAAATAAATCTGTAGAGCTACGCAAGAAAGTGCCTTGATATTATACTGATGCATAAATTGGAAAGACTTCGAAACATGGTTTCCGGATGTGTTACGTGCACGCATAATATATACACATGCGAACTCTATCGCTTGTGAGAATTATCATCAGGCGCTCACAATCTACTTTCCCTAGTACACCTTTTAATTATTGGTCACCATATTGGTCCTGCTGCGATTTCTCCGACGGATACGGCCGCCGCGCTGCCTGCTGCCCCAATCGTCACCACCCATCGGACCAAAGTTGGGTCCGTTTGAACTGTTCGGACCGAACGGATCGCCGCCACCGCCACCAGGTCCTCCAAAATTATTGAAATTGCCACCGCCACAAGGATAAGGAGGTCCTCCCTCATAGTTATCCGGACCAAAGGTGGCCGGCGGCCCAGGACCTAACAATCCAGCCCCGTTGTTACGCTGCGCGTTGAAACGTGGGTCGAAGTTCATCTGATTCTGGGGTGGCATCGGAGGCCCATTCATACCCATCGTCGGACCGTGTGGCATGCCCATAGGCGGCATGTTCTGCGGCGGCATCGGTCCAGCGTTCATCATCGGCCTCATCGGACCCATGTTGCCCATGTTCATCGGATGATTTGGACCCATCGGGCCCATCATACCCTGAGGACCCGGACCGGGCATGCTGCCGGGCAGCGGACCGCTGGGCATACCAGGTCTCACCTGCATGCTGGCGGGACCGAGACCCATGTTAGGTCCCATTGGCTCCATCCCTTTGGACATCATCGAAGCGTTGGCCACATTCTGCGAGGACGACTGCTGACTGGAAGCCGCCGCCTCGAGAGTTTTCCGTCGCGGATCCGAGCGAACACACTGCGGCGGCGATTTCGGTGTTTCCAGCTTGATACAGACGCCGCTCTGCGGCGGTGGCGACATCGGCGAGTCGGCCAGTTGCTCGGGCTTGGAGATACGGAAGATCTTGCGGAGGCGCGGATCGTACTTGACCTGCGTATCGTTCTTCGTTAACTTGAGACCAGTGTAATCCGGTCTGGGTATGTCCACTACATAGACCTTGTATGCCATCGGCGGATGCGACGCGATACTTGCGTCGATCTCGGTGCACGGTACATGCGCGGGCGCCGGCTTGAACGGCAGGCTCAATATCTGCCGCAGATCCACGTCGGATTTGACACGCAGATCTGTGTCGCCGAAATCACCAGACTGAAAACGCTGTCGGAAGTCCATGTCCTGCCGTCTGAGATCTTGATCCGCTCTCGTACGGAGATCGATGTCCATGGTCGCGTCCACCGTGGTGATGCCGGAACTGTAGATGCTTGTTTCCAGCCTGAGGGGCTTCTGTGACTCCCTCTTCACATCGGAAGATATGCTGGGGCTGCTCGGCTTCTGCTCAACTTCTCGGCGTTGCCTGGGATCCCGGGACATTCGTGGATCCCTGGATACGGACATGGTTGATGAACTCGGACCCGGTGACCGCCTCGGACTCGACGATGTCTCACCCTCCGCTTTTATTTCGTGCACCGATTTAGTTTTCGCCTCCTGATTCGCGTTTGCCGTTTGTTGCGTCTTGCTACTTGTGGAACTCTGAGCCTTCAGGGTGGAGAGCAACTTGGATACCTCGGCACTGATGTCTATCTTGCTCAGGTCACCTAATTTGTCCACAATAGCAGCCGGCTGGGGTACGTTGGATGTGGATGTCGCAGGCTGGAAGCCTTCTTTGATAACGACATTCTGAGTCTTCTCGGTGGACTCGATTTCATCTTTCGAACTATCCACTATGGTAAGATTACCTCCCTCGTCGTCATCATCATCGTCGTCCTCGTCATCCGAATACCAATCCTCGATTATTTGATCGGCATTAGGTGTGTTGGTATCGTTATCCATGTTTTTCAAACTGTCCTGAGCTGCGCGTTGTTGCTGCTGTATTCGCATAAACAATTCTTGCGCCTTCTTTGGTAAGTGAGAAGGCACTGTCTCGTGATCCTCTATAAAGGAAGAGATGTCGCGAGATTGTTGTTCGCCTGTTAAAAACAGACACAATTGTATTTGTATTTATTTTTTCAATTATCTATTTGCATAATATATGTATATACGCATTTTACATAAATTAGATTTATAAGAATGAAAGGATTAAAAGCAATGCACATGTATAAAATATCAATTAGTAAAGAAATAAAAATATAATAGTAATTTATATTATTATTATTAAATTAAATAATTTAATGTTATTAAATCCTATAATATATTAAATATAGCTGAAGAAAATTACGATGAGATAAGCAATTCTTACTTTGTTCATTACTATTAAGCTTTCCCTTTTCCTTATCATCATCTTCAGTTGGCACTTCGATAACAAGTTCCGATTCCTCATCCTGATCACTTTCGTCATCGAGTTTATTTCTCGTGAGACTTGCTACTTTATCAGCTATACTATAGACGGGTGGTGGTAGTTTCTTTGCGTTCAATAACTGCCTCAAGTCGACATCTTTCCTCTTTTTCGACTGCAAATGTAAATAATAAATTTTATGATGATTATGCAATCGTTACATTTTTTAATTCAAATTTAGCTATAATTGTAATCATAATTTATTACAATACAAATTACGATTACAATTATAAATGTAATTTGTGCAATAATAAATAAATTATACCTCCTCTGATACATCTTCTTCCAAGTTCTTCGTATGACCTTCTTTTGTTTTTTCAGGTTTATTTAATTCTGCAGTTCTTTCGCTATAAAAATCTACAGGTGCAGGAATTTGCGCTTGTTGTTGCGTGGCTAAACCTAACGCCGCGTTTGGAAGTTGAAGACCAAGTTCGTTTGCTGATTGCAATAGCATAATCTGCTCGTAAGGAACTCTGTCCTCATCTGATCCCCATCGTGTCTTCTTTCCAGAAGGCTTTCTTTCCCTCACATTTTTTTGCTGATTTGTTTGTTCTTCTATTTAATCAAACAATTATTATTTTAATATTATTTATAAGAGTTGAAATGAATATCAAAGTAACATCACGATACTTTGAGTAAAAATAAATTAATTTTCATTTATTAAAAGAGACAGCTTACCTTTCTCTTCTTTATCATCAGTCTTTTCTACAGGTACTGATAGATTCAATTCGAAGAGACTAGGAATCTTTTGATTCGTTGTATCTTGGCCTTGTGCTAGAGAACGCGCTGTTTTATTTATCATTATCATAGCACCTTCTCTACTTAATCTTGGAAATTCACCAAGAATTTCCTTTGGTGCAGTTTCCAAGTGTTTCAAAAGAATATTTTTTACCTAAAACACAAAATCAATCCAAGGATTACTTTCGGTAATAAATTTAATATGACTAGTTTCATTCTTTTCACAGCTACAAAATCACAATGTACCTGATCGTTCAAAGGCTGATGAGAAAATTTACAATTGTCGCCCTGAATGCACGGCAAACCTGTGTGAAAGTACTTGCAAGGAAAATCATGATGCATATAGAGGCACTTGTCTCGTTTTGCACAACAATCCATAAGGTAGAACTTGCATAATTCCATCTTTCTAGGTGGCAAAGCGTTATGCGAGAATGGACAATCATCCCCTCTGTGACACTTTCCTTGCATATAATATACGCAGATTGTATCCCCATCCTGGTGATCATTGTTCTGCGGGCGGCGATTATTTCGATCATTTCGAATTTGGCCCCGTGTCTTATTCTTACCACGTTCGTTCTTGCCACCACGACGCCCTAAATACACAGAAGCGTTAAAAGTAATCCAAAAGATAATAGAGTTGATAATCGATAAATTATAATTTTAATTATATAATCATAATAAAAAGAATTATATTTTAATTATGTGATTATGTTAAGATAATTAAGAGAAATAGAAATTAGATCTCTGTACCTCCTCCACCTCCTCCACGTCCAGTACCGCGTTTGCTGTCATTTTCTCGATGTCGATTTATGTTGGGCCTTTCCTCGTAATCCGAATTGTTGTCAAAATTCTCATGCTCGTTTGTACGCCTGGGGGAATTATTCTCTTGAGACTCCTTCCTGATGGGTGAAGCTCCTCGTACGAACAGCATCTCATCTTCATCCTCATTCGCGTTCTCGTCATCGCTCAATTTTCGTTTCTGTGTATTATAAAAATTTTGTCATGAAGATCTATGTGTCTATGGTTATCAAAAGCACGCTTCATACAGAAAAAAAGTTTAATGCATCCATATAAATAAAATGTGTCATTGCGAATTTTGCATACCTTCTGATCCTTGCTACGATCCTCTTCTCTCTCATCGCGCACTCGTTTCCTAACTTTGTTCCTATTGTTCTTGTTCTTCGTTTTGATTTCTTGACTCTTCCCTGCATCCTCCTCCATCGCAGCTTTTATAGCCTTTTCGACATCTCCAGCCCAATCTTCAGTCGGACCCTTATATTTCATAAATCGGTCATGCTTGCCACCCGCTTGTGCAGCCTGCGGCTTTTTGTTCTTGTTAAACTTTGCATCAAAATTCTTATTCTTCGCAGTATCTGGCTTTGGTGCTGGCTTGACAACCTCCGGTGCGTCATTCGCCGCACGAATGACTGGTTCATCATCCTCGTCTGATGGAATTTCTCCATCTTCCAAATCGTTATCGGTGCTATTGAGAAAAGAAAAGAAAAATATTATGAAGGTCATGTCTACAAACAATACAGATGCTTCGTAAGTTATTCCTGATTTGTAAACAACCCTTCAAGTATTTTCATTTCACATTTGTATATCACATTAGCAATAACTATACTTTTATAAATTTTCTTATATTCAAATAAAATTTATATAGAACAATTTTTCAATTTAATGCGTGAAGGGTAACTTTCTTATGTGTAATCATGTAGTTATGAATCTCTTCATTAAAACGATTATAAGATGTTCTAATTCAACAGTTGCAACGACGACAATTGCTGCTTTCATATTCAGAAAAGCTTTCTGCTTTTAACGTCTCCGAGGAATATTATTCATCGTTATGTAATAAAATAATGGAACATAAAATACCGAGTCACTGAAATACAGTCTCCGTATATATATGTATGTACACAACTATGACCCTCCTTCGTGCGCGATAAGTTAAGTAAACATATACAAAATCTCTAACGAGAATAAGATTTACGTTTTCGTTTTCATTTTCATTCGTCAGTTTATCGTTCATGCATTACTGATAATACGAAGATGAGCAAGATCTGATGATGTTCGTTTCTCAGAATACATCTCGACGTTGGTACACCGAACACATCGGCGGAGAACGCATTTTCTCGGTCGTTCGGAAAATCAATCTCGCGTGACAGCTGCGGCGCATCGCACGCGAGGTTTTCCAACGGAAATAATCATATGTTCATGGTTTTCTACGAGAAAGAGAGCGCATCTCTCGACTTATGTTATCACCTCATCGTAATTCATAATAGCCTGTCTCGGACTATATCACGAGTGTGTGGTGGTGGTGGTGGTTGCGGCGGCGGTCGTGTGCGTGCGTTTCTTTCGTTCGTTCGTGCGTGCAAGCGTGCGTGCGTGCCTGCGTGCGCCGCGGCGGGCTAAAAATGACGCCAAGGCGAATTCATGAAGACGGACTCGCGATTGTCGCCAAGGTCAAATTGATAGCGCAAGCAGTCATTGAACAGGTCGGCGGACTATATACGTCGCGCGGAGTAAACTCTCTCTCTCTCTCTCTCTCTCTCTCTCTCTCTCTCTCTCTCTCGCCCCCTGTGGAGAGGGGAAAGCTCGGATTGCGCGGGCTGTAACGTGGCGGCGTCGTAGCTACTGGTCGTGCCGAAAACATCGGTCATCCGCTGTGATCCGCCGCCGCACCGTGGAAAAGGAGAACACCGCGGGAAGGGAGGAGGAGAGGGGGAGGGGGAAGGCGACGTTACGGCGCGAAACAGGGGTTGCGCACTCGGGTGACGTAGAAGCCCGATCGATGGACGAGATCCGGCGGGAAAACGAGCAGGTGCGCGCGCGGGGCTACCGAAGACGCTGAGAATCACGGTTCTGCGTAAACACGCGCATATAATATGTACACACATACACACTCCGGTCCGGTGTAGATACATGAAGGGGGAACGCGAAATAATTAAATATATACACGGGTTACAATTTTCAACAACGCGGAAATTATCGATCTCTTATATTGTCCGCTAATAATAGAAATGACAGACGGGCAATAAGATTTTTCGCGCGATAGGAAAATCGAGCGCGGCGAGGTCCTGCGGCTCCTGTGACAGGAGCTATTTGCTGAAAGCGCGGGAACGAACACGCGTGACTGCGAAAATTCTAAAAAAGAACGGCAGAAGAGTTGCTTGAATCTGAGAATCGGACGTTAATAGATCCACAAGTATATAATACGCCGAATGTTTACGATGGAAAAATAATAGCTCACAGTCTCGCGGACTGATTAATTAATTGGCACAAGGTCCTTTCCGCGTGTCTATACGGCATCGGAGGGTCGAACTCACCGGGGATTACATCGCCTCCTGACGTCCTTCGCTTAATAAACCCGTTTCCACTTGCAAAATCATCCATTCCGTAAAATCATCGATCGATTATCGGGATCAATGTACATATACAGACAGGTCATCGCAATTGGGACGGTGCGGTTATCGAAAATAAAGATAAGATTGGAGTTGCCTTACCGCTCTCATCGGGTTATCATCAATTCATCATCATCAGATCATGATCATCATTATCATTATGACGAATCGTCATAATCATGGTGCGTTACAGTAGCATAACGTCGAAGGAGAACCACCACATTCTCAACATTGTCGTCGTTGCAACATATAGTCGATTTAAAGGCAACATTAAAGCCGATGATGCCGAAGAAGACATATTACGCCGAAAAGCTCTTCGCGTGTCGATTCTCGTTCATTGAAGAATATCTCCGTTTTTCTATCTCTATCTCTCTCTCTCTGCCCGCTGAGCGTTGCGTGCGTACCGTGCGTATGTGCGTGTCTCGTGTGTTAAGAGGGTAAAGACTAAAGGTCTTCGGACGAGCGTCCGATTGTTCTGGCGTGGAAGAGTGCATATAGAGTGACTCAGATCTATCGCTCTTCATTTGTGAATTCTGAGACGATTTTTCCCGCAGAACGAACAAGGCCTTTCTCTTTTAATTTTGCACAATTGATCTCCTCTCTCTTCAAAGTTCAAATTAAATTTTGGACGTTTCATCCTTGAAATTAAGATTTTAGATCGATGATCATAAAGATGAGAAAAAGAATTCTTTGCAAAAATTGCTCACGTGATGACAAGGTCTTAATAATTGTATGTCCAAATGAATCCTTCACTGCCGAACGGTTTTATTAATATTCATAGCAAGATTATTGGCGCCACATTTTCATGGGGGATTAAACTTAATCAGTTTAATCGAGAAAATCATAGAAATTTCATCGAGAAAGCAAAACGCGATACATCCGAGACACCTGATATATGCATATATTGTGGGAGGAAGAATGGGATTCTCCGTATTCGTTTCATCCTACTTCCTATACACGCATCGTTGTCATACACGAGCGTAATCGATCTTTCGTAAAGAGGGAAAGAAAAGCTGAAGGAGACCTAGGCAGTCGACCGGAAACGACCCGGAAACGATCGATTTATAATTCTGTAGCATTTTATCGTTCCGACTTGGATTCGCTCGCGAATCGAAAGCCGATCGGACCGATTCAGTTACGCGTTGATTAAATCATGTCTACTGCAAAAGATTTAAAAAACATATTTACTTGCCGATCTAAGATTAATTTTAAGATATTTATCTTATTTTTGCGTTTGATAAAATTATCGCGCGTTCACGATCGCGAGATCCGAATCAGCCAAAACATTCTGCCGCTTTTACATACAATCGCCGGTATATTCTATAAATAAAAACAAGCCGAAGTACATTACGCGCGGTGATTCTTCCGCGTATCATCTCCTCCCCCCCTCTCTCTTTCCCTTTCTCTCGCCAAAATTGCACCCCGACCCAATTCTGAAAATAATCCGCCGGGATCGCAATCAGCTCGCAAGTCGCGAGAATGATCGCGGTGCCATTTCGACGAGGATTGCAGGAACGGCCTTGACCCCCTGTCCACCCCGCTTCCTTGCTTCAAATCGATCCGCCGTGTCCCGAGAGAGAAAATAGAGCAAACGGACAGATGCCTTTTTTTTTGAAGCGGGGAAAAAAGCTACAGAAGATCGTGACGACGCGAAGCATATTTTATAGAAGAGGAAACGCGAGATGCGTCAAAGTCAAATGATATTGCTCTTTTTCGATGCGCTCTGGTGGAACGTGTCGAAACGGGACGAATGAAGAGAGGGAGGGGGAGGAGAGGGGAGGAGGAGGAGGAGGGAATGCGTCACCGAGGAGAGAGGAAGCGGGGGAGCTAGAAGAGATGTGTGTAATACTAACTTGTATGTACGGTAAAGAGTATGCGTGTTACGTATATGTCTAGGTGTGCGTGAACGATGATTAGTCACTCGCGAAATTTTCTCCTTCGTTCGCCTTTCGGTATGTCCCACATATTTTATGTACTCGACGGCGGTAATTAAAAAGAGAATATTCATAGCGCGCGGAAGAGTTATTTGGTAGAGTAGTATAGTTTAGGAGGCAAACCTTTGGATCAGAGTCTCAGCCGCGGAAACACTCTCTACTGCCATTTTCGCTTTCGGTTCCGCAGATCGAGTGCGTATGCGCTCTCGTTGGTACCCCGGAGTGAAGTACCGAGTTTCCTATATATCAGCACTGCGGCCGTCCGATCGGCCGAGACGGCGGATCATACGATCGATTCGCCCGACCACACTCGACAGGTCTTTGCTCTGGAATAATTGCGTCGCCCGAATGCTAGCATTTGGGAGAGCTTAATGAGCGCTCCACATATGAAACAAACTGTAAAAAAAAAATTGCTTCGTTTTTTCTCTCTCTCTCTCTTTCTCTCGTTCGCTCTCCCTTTCTCCGTCGTGTCTCTAGCTTTCTCTTTTTTCCCGAAACCGATTGCGTTTGTGCCCCGAAGACTTACGCTTCCTCTTCCTTTTTTCCTCTCTACACGGGGGGAGGGGAAGGGTCGCTTTTGTTACGTTCTTTTCGTTTCACAAAGATTTTCGCGGATATTATCGACTCGGCTCGGATTTGGAAGGCGTTTAGAGGCAGGCAAGCCTTTCTCTCGGAAGTCTTTTCTCCTACGAACTGAGTTGAACGCGGATATGTACTGTGCACTTATCTCGACTGGTTTTTCTACCCTCGGCTTTTCTCCCTTTCTCTCTCCCGTACCGAGGGCGGCTGGCCGGCGGATACAGATTTTTCTTTTCGATTTTTTTTTCTTTCACTAGCGAGATGTTCACCCCTTACGCGTGGGTCTCTCTCTCTCTCTTTCTCTCTCGCCCAATGAGTCGCGCGTGAAAATTGGAATACGGTCAAATCGCACGATCCTCCTTTCCTCGCCGTCGCGAAAACGACGTCATTCTGGCTGACGTGGCATACGGCTGACCCAGCGACGACGAGCGGCTCTCGTCGTGGGCGTCTCTCCCGTGGCGATTATCTTTTACCTACCCACCCTGTCCGGCCTGGCTCGCCTGTTTGCCTGCCCGTCTGCCTGCCTTGCCTGCCCCGGGTGCCCCCCGCCGTAGTCCGTTTGTGTGTCTGAGTGTGACGTCGTTGCGTGTGCGACCTCGTGTGCGCGCGCGACGTGCCCGAAACGGAAGTGCGACGCGCTGCGAAAATGGGAACGCGCTCGCGCGTGCGTACTCGTCGTCGAAAACCCGCCGGAAAATGAGATAAAAAGAAGATGGAGGAGAAGGAGAGGAGGAGCGGGGGCGAGAGAAAGAAGAAGAAAGCGCGGCTCTTTCTCTCTTTAGACGGAGAGTGTCCTGTTCACCCCTTTCCCCCGGCGTCTCCTTGCCGAAATAAAACGATGCTTTCACTTCTGCGACTTTAAACCATACGAAGGCACGATTCTCTTTTTACGACAGTAACGTTGGCTCTTTCTACTCCTCCTCTTTCTCTCTCTCTCTCTCTCTCTCCCTCTTTCTCCGAATAACGACGAAATGTGTATTAACGACGTTCGGCCCGAGAGCGACAGAGATAGGGAGCGACGGAGAGCGGACTTTTGCAAATGCGCGCGGACTCTTGCCGAGAGAGTGAAGAAACGCTCCGGGAACGAGGACGAAATTCTCGCAACCTCGGAGTCGCGGATAAAATCCGGAGGTGTCACGGATCTCGCGTGGCTCCGCGCGACGACGTCCCGAGACGACGAAGCGACGTTCAAATGCGCGACAATGACAGACAACAAATGTCTCTTCGCCTTTCTTTCTCTCTCTCTCTCTCTCTCTTTCTCGTTCGCGTCTCTCTGCGTCGTTCGCGAGATTTCGGATCTCTCGGCAAGGGCGTTTTTTAAAACAGCATGTGGATGCAGCGAAATAAACGAGCCGCAGGCAAAGACGAAGAGTACGAGATCGGTCGGACAAATGCGTATTATTTACTCTCTCAGCAGTCAGTATAAAAATGTAGCGGTTTATATGACGATGATCGAAAACTTCGGAGATTGAAACTAAACATGGCCACATCTGGAACTATTCTGAGCCTCCCAGCCAGACGCCCGTTGCGGAAACCCGTCGGGATGGCGGTGGCGGAACAAGCGAGCAGCGGGTCAGGAGGGAAAGCGACGCGCGGCCCGGCCAATCGCGCGCCCCGCTCGCCGCTCACGTGACCGCGTGCCGCGCGTCCGCACGCCGCCCGCGTCGACAAGCTCCATCGCGGCTCACCCACCGCGCCTCCTCGTCCCCCTTTCTCACGGTCCCGCCGCGGCGCCCGCGAGCCGAACCGATCTCTCGTTGCGCGGCCGCGCGTGAGACAGAATTCCTGAATACCCGACACCGCTGTTGCCCCGCATACGGAACTTCTGTGAAAGGCGTGACGCGCCGTACTGCGCGACCTGAAAACATTCGGGCCGCGTATAACGCAGGTGCGTGACTCGACGCATCTCCCGAGGCGCGCAATCACGGGCCAGGCGCGACGAGCACGGAGAACGATGATGAAAGATCGTACAATCCTGGCCTGCTCGTCGTTCATCGTTGGAAATCATTTTTTTTTTTTGACACGCGTTTGATTACGTCGCGCAGCTACATTATTTATTAAGTCGTTAAATGAACTTTGATTTTGCTCTTCCGAGTATCAGTAAATGCATTCTTTCCGACGATAAATTTGTTTTCCATTCGATTAGATAAGAGACTACGTGCGCGAAAAGAACATTGTTGAAAAATATATAAAACTGTTGAGAGAAGAAATGATACGTCATCGATTGTTTTTTTATAGAAAAATGCTGAAACACATGAATTTTGTTTCGGAGAATATGAATAAAAATATCAAAATGTGAATATTATGAATTCAATTGTATTATTTCACCTTACATACCTAACGCTTAAAAAAATTTTAGATAGCAATAAGAGTCAATTTACACAGTCTCAAAAGTTATTAATTTTTATAATTGTATCTATTTATTTAACTTTAAATATTTTTGGAAATTTTGAAAATTAAAAATTCACAAAATTTTAGAGAACAGTTTTATTTTATCAAATAATCGTCTTATTTTATAAGTCAAATAACTGTCCTCTATTAATATTCTATAAAATTTTTCTTAAAAATTGTTGTGAACATTTTATAACATTCAATAACATTAAGTTATTTTGGTTACGGCAGTTATTTTAGTGAAGCTATGTGTAACATGTATGTACAACAAAAATATATATAATATTAATTTTAATTTGCATATATATAAATGCTAATTTTTCACATCCTATATAAATGGAATATTTTTTAATCTTAACATCATAAATATTGTATTCAAAGTTTATATTTACATTTTGAGAAAGGTATTAAAATATATTTATTTTTATCTAAATTTTATCTTTTTCTTACGTATGCAAAATAATTTATTTACACAAGATGTAAGGCACATTTATGTTGACATAAATTGTAACTGCATTTCTACAAAAAAAAAAAAATTACGACAATCTTTTTGTACAAAATCAACTAAATTGCAAATATAATAAGTCTATAATAAAATAAAAAAAAGAAAATTTAATATATTTAAGAAAAAATTACAGATTCTGTTTTTATTTTCAAGAAAGAAAAACCATTGAACAAATAAATTTCTTAATAAGATAATCTCTTGCAGTTACAATATTTCTTACCAATGTCATTGATGTATCTACTTTAAAAATTTCGAAATAAATTGCTAACAGATCGTCAGACAAGAGTCATTTTACTTGTTCATGTGAACGATGATGGAAAACAAATGAAATACCGCTAGCCCAACATTGTCGTAACGGTATGTCCGGCAAATGCCGCGGATTGTGCGAGTGTCGCCAGTCGGACAGATCGGAATTGCAATCAGATTGCTCCGACGGACCCTTCACCTCGATGCCATTGACACAACGTTTGCATTTGAACCTAAAGAAGAATAGTCATTATTCATGTATCAGATGTATATAAAATGTTTTTTAAATAACAGTTTGAATGATTTTATACTTTGCGTGCGTATCAGAAACCGTATTCTCCTCCAATTTGAATAAATCACGCAAATCGTTTATGGTGAAATGTCTCGCCACGTCGTCCTCTTGATCGACCACCGTAGAACTCAATGCTTTCTTATGGGCTTGTCTCTGGAAAATTTTTTCCTCTATCGTTCCAGTCTGGAAATATAAAATGTATATCTCGTTTATTTAATACATATTAACGACTTAATTATTTATATATAAACGTAATATTAATTTTCATATCTACTAAACAAATATTTTATATTAGTTATTGTTCGATAAAAATATTGTTATTCTATTACTAACAGAAAGAAAACGATAGACGAAGCACGGTTTCTTCTGACCGTCTCTCCAGACTCTGGCCATCGCTTGGTCATCGTTTGCGGGATTCCAATCTGGATCGAACATGACGAGACGATTCGCGCCGATGAGATTCAAGCCGCATCCACCGGCTTTCGAACTGAGCATAAAGATGAAATCGTTGCTGCTGTCACTGTTAAAATTCTCGACTACTTTCGCTCTTTTCTTAATCGTCATCGTACCGTCGAGCCTCACGTAATTGTATGAACGTTTGTGGCAGAGTTTCTCGAACAAATCGAGGGTCTGCGTATAATTGGACACTAGTACTATTTTGTCGTTCGTTGTGGTTTTAATAGACGCTAGGAGGCAATCGAGAACCATCAGTTTGCCCGATAATTCTGGTAACAGCACTCTAAAATAAAAATTACTCGTTTATCAAGTCTGACTCAAATAATAAATCGTCAATCGTTCATCAAATAATAAATTAATCTTACCTTGTCGAGTAATTTGGCGGTAACAAAGATGCAGCTCTCTCAAGTCCCTCTGCCTTTTCCATGATTTTATCGTATATCAAGTCGGGATGATTGCACAGCTTCTTTAAGAGAGTTATGGCGGCCAAAGCCGACAAACTGCCTCCCTTCTTTGAATTATCTTTTTCTATACAAGGAATACGAAATATATTTTATTTCTAATAAGTGATATTTACTCCATCTCAATAATTGTTAGTTAAAAAGTTAAAACTGTACCTTCCATAGATCTTTTTATACTATCACTCTGTATGAAATTCTTGTAGAGACGCGTTTGCAGTTCTCCCATTTTTATGCATACCACGAGCTCGTACTTCAATGGCAAATATTTCGAAAGCAAAGCGCTGGTACGTCTAATGAGACATTTATTAACAATGGATACTAAGTCAGACAAACGTTCCTCAGCGACTTCACGTTCCGCGTCAGTCGCAGCTGCGTCTTGGCCACGTAATATGGGCGTCTCATACCTTCTTCGAAATTCCTGAAAGGATAATTCCAGTGTTACAAGCTGTAATACGTATATTACAACAGCAATTTCATACATGATAATAGCCGACTATTGTTTACCTGTGCAGTTCCTAATAATCCTTGATTAACGAAGTGTACGAGGGAAAAATACTCCAGAAGATCATTTTGTATGGGCGTGCCGCTGAGCAACACTCTTCTCCTGGCTTTCAAACCCATTAAGGATTGGTACGTTAGATTTTCAGAATTCTTCAAGCGGTGACCCTCGTCGCACAATACCAGGCCCACTTCGTCCTGATGCAGGACGTGTGCGTGTAAACGAAACGTCTCGTAACTTATAATGAGAATGGGCGTCACGCATCTGCCGTAGGTTTTCATAAAACGGATGAGTTTCTGGTCAATCTCCGCTTTCTTTCCTCCGTCGATAGCGACAGTGTTGACCATGTTTTTCAGCCACTTATTAATTTCGTTGTCCCAGTTCTTCACCAAAGAACTGGGCGCGACTATAATTGCTTTCTCTATTAGTGGTTTAGCCTCCGGTCCTACGCATAACACAAGTGTCTTCCAATTTTTGTAACCGTTCGTTCTATTTTCTAATTTTGTTGATAACCTTACGACACTTTACCTTGCTTCAACAATGTCCACAACAGAGTTATGCACTGCAGCGTTTTGCCGAGGCCCATTTCGTCTGCCATGATGCAGCCGTATGCGTTCTCTATACGTTTGCCCGTGACACATTCGTACATAAATTTCACGCCTTCGCGTTGATGCGGTCGTAATACATTGCACAGTATGGGATCCACAACTACGTGTACGAGCTGCTTGCATCTGCAAAAATTAAACATGTAATTACAATCTGCTTGGTCTCGAAATATATTATCTTAATAAAACTGCGAACTGCAATAGGAGCACAGTACAAATGTGCATTGTACATACGTATCTACTTTCAGTCTATCGTGCTCCGATAATTCTGGTGGTGAATAGACAATCAATGCGTTGGGTTCGTCAGGATCATGCAACGACCTGCGTGGTCCTGGCAGACGTAATCCAAGAACTCGTCCGGACAATTGGTAACCAGGTATTGGTATTTGAAAGGGTTTACTGAGAAGCTTCCTCACTCTCTCTTCCTAATCAATAAGTCATATGTTACCTCTACAGCAACGAAACTAATAACAATATAAAATAAAGATTGCCATTTATAAGTGGACTTACGTGCTCGGATACTATTTTCTGCATCGTGCAAACGCCATTGTCAGAAAGGGGAACAGATTTGCGTTCCGATATCTGTATATCCTTGACATTCTTGCAGGTTCTTCTTTTCGACGCCTGTGTATAATTTTCGGACGGAGTCAATTCCACAATGTTGTGCGGTAGATCCAAGAGCAGAGGCCGTTTCCCCCTTTGACTAGGCGCCGATGATCGAATCTTGCGTGCATGCAAAAAAAAAGAGATACATTGTGTAGGTACAAGATACAAGTACACAATCCACTTTATTTGTTACTTAGCAATTTTGTTACATCACTAAAATATAGATTCGATCAGACAAATGGATACTTCAATTCATTTAATTGAATAGACTCTCGTCTTTCCTTCTCTCATTCTGAATTAATTATTTTATCAATAAGTTATAGGCACATGACACACATAACCCCCATGTTTCGTATCATTTTGAATTGAAGTTTCCAGAAATAACACATTAATAAGCAAAAAAAATAGAAGTATCCTATAAATTATTACCATCTCAAGCGTTCAAGCATTCATTTGAAAATCAACTCGGCTATTCCTTCATTTCCTTCGGTAATTTATCGCTGCAGATGATAAAAGTAATGCGAACCGGTAAACAAAACCCCTTTCAAATTCAATCAATCTGATATATGCCAGGTTTATGCTGATCGGTGATTGGCCATCCATTGCCTCGACAGCCAATCAGTATTTTCGAAAGAATATCTCCGTAAAACGATAGTAGATGGAAGCACATACATGCCATCTTTCGTCGTAATTATGAGCAGCAGATTTAAACGTGGAAAACTGAAAATTCCCTCTTTTCTCGTTATCGTTTTAAATATTTTTTAAATACAATTTCTCTTTTGCTCGATTAATTTCGATAATGAGACGTATTAAACGAGAATTGTAACTGCTGTTGAACAAAGACATGTTTCTCAACTTGGCACTTTAAAGTTTACCGCAAAATCTGTAAATTTGAAAAAAAAAGAGGATTTAATTACAAATTGTATCTCAAAATGCGAAGACACTCATTAATTATGGGTGTGTAAAACTAGGAAATTTAATATTGTTATGTAAAAATTAATGTTACAAAAAAATTAATAATCGACTGAGGATGAAGCAAGTAACATTAAAATAAACGAAGCGCTTCAAAGACAACAATTCTCCTTTAATTCTCTATTTCTAACATATACAGCTTGTCTTTCACAAGACGACACACGATGACTTGTTTCGCTCGGAACATTCTCTAGAGGTAACTGTACATATTGTGTTAAATTCTCATTCGAATTAGCTCAAACGCATAAAGAATCTCATACATGTGAATTTCGCAGTGGAATGTGGGGAATGCACAAATACAATACGTGATTGTGGATTCCTCTATGCTCTTTTCGTCTATGTTAATACTGAATGATATATTACACTTTACAATAATTGCTCTGCGTGAGTGAGCATCGTCGCTCTAAAGCACGAGAAAGATACATGTCTCAAGTATTGAAACAATATTATATCCAGCGTTTATTATTTCCATGATATAGATAACATATGTAGTCTCGGATCTGCAACTCGCAACTTTCGCATGCAAGATCATCCGAAATAAATTGTAATTTTTCAATTTGCCTTATATATCAATACCGTTGATATCCATTTTACACTCTCATTGCACAACATTAAAAAACGGTACACAATCCTGTAAGCTTGTAACATTAATATTTTTCAATAGTCTGCAACAAAGGCGCGTTACTCTTTTATCTCCCACCCTTCCCCCCCCTCTCATTATCCGAAAGCGTATACGCCATTTAACTATTCTCTTTAATCATTCTCTTGTCACGTTACATCGATTTTTTTCATAAATATATCAAGAACAGGCGTGTTTTTTTTCATTCCAATTAATGAAGAGAAGGTAAATCGTACTTGTACGCGCAATTCCATTAAAACAAGCTTACGCATAATGCGAGACAAATAAAAGGCGGTGATTAATGACGGGAATCTCTTGGATAGAATTCCGCGAGGGTGCTGGCTGGGATTCGCTTAAGCATCTCCTTGGGGAAGATTCGCAGAAGCTGCCAGCCGATGTCCAGTGACTCGAAGACCGTGCGGTTCTCGTAGCTGCCCTGCGAGATAAAGTTCTTCTCGAACTTCGACAGGAATTCCAGGTACAGCAGATCGTCCGGCGTCAACGCCTCTTCTCCCACGACCGCTTTCATCGCTTGGACGTCTTTTCCAATGGCGTAACACGCATACTAAAAAAGATATATTTGGAATTATAAAAAATAATTACAGAAAGATATTTTTAGATTAAGGTAAACGTACCATTGACTGAACATGTATCTATATCCGAATATATACACGCACACAAAAATTTATTTTTAAATGCTTTTTCTTCATAATATTATAATTTAATTGTAATCTTTAAATATTTTTCCAATTAAATGTTGATATTAAAAAATTGGTAATAAAAAAAGCATTTGAGACTTAATGAATTTTGTATACGTGTTCGGATATAGATACATGTTCACTGGTACGTTTACTTTAACTGTAGAAAACAGAACTGTGCAAAATAATATTACAATTTCATTTCACAGCCTAAAAACATGCTTATTTTTTTTCATAATTTATGACAACTCACCAATTGATTGGACACGTCGGAGTGATCCTTTCGTGTCATACCCTCGCCGATGGCGGACTTCATGAGACGCGACAGAGACGGCAGTACATTCACGGGTGGATAGATCTGCCTGTTGTACAGCTGACGATCGACGTAGATCTGACCCTCGGTGATGTATCCGGTAAGATCAGGAATCGGGTGAGTAATGTCGTCGTTCGGCATGGTGAGAATTGGGATCTGCGTGATGGAGCCATTGCGTCCCTCCACACGGCCGGCACGCTCGTAGATCGTGGCGAGATCGGTGTACATGTAGCCAGGGAAGCCACGTCTACCCGGTACCTCCTCACGGGCGGCCGAGACCTCGCGCAACGCCTCAGCGTACGAGGACATGTCCGTGAGGATGACCAGCACGTGCTTCTCGCACTGATACGCCAGGAACTCGGCCGCCGTTAGGGCGAGACGCGGCGTGATGATTCTCTCGATCGTCGGATCGTTGGCCAGATTCAGAAATAGGCACACGTTCTCCATGGAGCCGTTCTCCTCGAAGTCCTGTTTGAAGAAACGCGCGGTCTCCATGTTGACACCCATCGCCGCGAACACGATGGCGAAGTTGTCCTCGTGAGAATCGAGGACCGATTTGCCGGGCACTTTCACGAGACCAGCTTGACGACAGATTTGCGCGGCAATCTGCAAGGTGAGAAACGAATGTATGCAATATCCTGTGTGGACAATTTGAGAGCAAGTGACAAAAAGATAAATATATACCTCGTTATGCGGCAGACCAGCGGCGGAGAAGATGGGAATCTTTTGGCCACGGGCGATGGAGTTCATGACGTCGATGGCCGATATTCCGGTCTGGATCATTTCCTCTGGATAGATACGAGACCACGGATTGATAGGCTGTCCCTGAATGTCCAAATAATCTTCCGCGAGAATTGGCGGCCCCTTGTCGATCGGTTTTCCCGAGCCGTTGAAGACACGGCCCAGCATGTCTTCGGACACCGGGGTCCGCAGAATGTCGCCGGTGAATTCACAATGAGTGTTCTTCGCGTCGATGCCGGATGTGCCCTCGAACACTTGGACCACCGCTTTGGAGCCGGAGACCTCCAGAACTTGGCCGGAGCGTAGGGAGCCATCGGCGAGCTTCAGTTGTACGATTTCGGCGAACTTTGGAAATTTCACTTCGTCCAATATCACCAATGGACCGTTTACTCCAGATACTGTCTTATAAGCTAGAAAGAGAAAACAAGTACTTTTAACACTATACTTTGGACATATAAAACTGGATATAAAAATTATACTTATTTAGAACTTATTTAAAATAAATAAAAAAATATTGATACAAATACTTTTATTAATTATAATAATAAATTAAACGTTTGTATTTTCTAAAAATAATTTCTATCTACATCCTTTGCCTTGAAAAGACTTCATAATTTCTTTCCTTAATTCATAATTTTCATAAAACTATATTAAACATATTATATAATATCTATTCGACATTTGTTCAACATACGTTTACATTTCCTCTCATATTGTATCATAATTTCGTGAATATTAATTAACAGTATGGGTTACGCCCATAGATGAAAAGAATATTCAAATACTTCTGAATTAAGAAAAACAACGTATCTCGGATAATTATTTTGGAATGTTCCAAGATCAACAAACTGTCTCCAGATTCTTTAGAAGCTCAAAAGGAGCAATCAAAAGTGGTCACGAAGGCCGCTCGAGTGAACACGAGTTGTCGGTCACATGACGCTGGCAGCTTGAGGAAAACCTCGGGAACGGCAAACCCCCCCGGGAAATCGTCCCTACGTCGCCTCTAGCCCTCGCAGATTCGCGAACCCGCGAGGGAGGACGACGCGCGCGATCTCATCCTCCGGGGGAGAAGGGCACGCGAGAAATCGCCGAGATGCGGGATCAGCTGACTCGAGGTTGGGGAATCGATCAGATGCTACGCCCAACATCGCGGATGCTCCGTGCGCCCGAGCCGTCTTCCACCTCGTCCCCGACGCTATACTTACTGAGACGGGGCTGGGCGATGAAGTCCCGGGACACGGCGAGCACGTGCTCTTTGTTCGCCTGGTGGTTGCTCATCGTCTTGGAATACATCTTGGGGGAGGCTGCGTTCTTCGCGTACACGTCTCACACTCGCGCGTTATCCGCCACTGCTCTCGCCCCGACGAACAGCAGAAGATACTGGCTTCTCGCCGCTGCGTCGACGGAGAGAGAGAGAGACGGATTGATGCGACTGCGGTAGGGGGAGGGTAGGAGGATGGAGGAATACACGGAAATTGCGAGAGGAGAGCTCGGGTGCGGCTGCCCCGGGTCTCGTGCCTTAAAATGAGAGAATCGCGTTCCTTGGAATGAAACGCGAAAGACAGCACGGATGTGCGCTTCGGCAGAGAGAAAGAATAGCAGCAGCAGAGGTGGGGGAGGTGAGAAAAGGACGGGAGACGAGGCACGTGCAATCACGTGGCTCGAACTCGGTGAGTCGTTGAACGTTTCCGTCGGGCCAGGTTCGGCGAAAGGGTCGATACGCGGTGTGAAAGGGAGGCGTGCGAAATTAAAGAGAACGTCGACATAATTATTGATCGCGAGATCCACGGTCGAGGAGATCCGTGCTGTTTATTCCTTGACGCTAATTCCCGCTGTCAAAGTCACGTCAAATGGCGGTTCCTTCAATGCGCGATTACTTGACAGATCGGCTATATTTCCTATAATAATTGCCGCATTCTGGATGTAATTTCAATAGAATTGCAGTACCGGCGAATTTATCACATAAGTATATATTACAAACTAATTGAGATAAACGAATTGTGCAGTTGATAATCGAAACGTCTAATGAATCATAAATATAAAATATTTCTCACAGTATAATTATATATATACAATATAAAATTATTATATTTATTAATTTGATTTCTGTGCAGCAGATAGATCGATCTTAATTTTTTAAAATAAATTTTGATTTTAATTTGACGCGTTGGATATACTTTCATCAATTGTTAACTATAGTGAATTATATAAACGATGCAGTAACGTCAACAAGTTAATTTACAAAGCAATCTATCGCTCTCACAAGAGATGAGTGAAAATTTCCGTGAAACCTTCAAGAAATACATTTGATTGCATTCGCAATCGTTGTGAATGAAATTAACTGCGGGTGCTCGCGAGACACGATACTTGCGGCGCTACGTAGTGCACGTCACGTGACTCGTGACGGCGCTGTCGGCGCGCGCTACGTTCACGCTCTTCCCCATAACCAACCGCCGCCCGCCGCTGCCCTGGCTGTCATTTATCGAAGTGCGCGCGGCAGTGGAGCGGTGGTTATCGCATTTGCCACGGACGTGGGGTAGAAAGGAGGGGTCCCTCTCGACCGCGCGGTCGCGAGTAAGTCACTTCGGTCAGTCGAGTTCAGTGCGCGCGCGTTCGTCACTGGTGGCGGCAACTTGATAGACGAACTTGATCGAAGTGATGGCGGCTCTCAAACGAATAACCAGCCTGGGCCGGGCACTCGCGACGATGACGTCCGCGTCGCGGCCCTGCCTCCAGCGCGCCACGAGGAAGACCTTCTTCACGTACGTGAACGAGCCCTCGATGCCGATCCCCGGCAAGGAGCCCTGCTGGGTGAAGACCGCCGACGAGGCTATCGAGCAGGCCGAACTCGACTCAGGTAATCGATGATGACGGTATAATATACCTTTCATCCCTTTCATCGATCTCGAAAAAGGCGCGTCGCGCGGATCTCTCGCCGGGGATTAAACGGATCGTTAGATCACCAGTCAATCCCAGCATCTAATCCTGATTCTCTATAATGTTTTTTTAACAACTTTTTTTCTCTTTGTCTCTACATCGTAGGTTGAGAGTTGAGACTATATAGTATAAAGAGGGAGGAAGCGAATTGCTAATTCATACAGCACGGAATGTTGACGCAGCTAATAGGTATTCAAACGTGAGCTTGGTGACGTATGACGGAGCTGCGCTGGTTATCCACTTACACGCAAAGGAATATTTCAGTTCGGAACTCGGCCACAAATCGATTTTCTAGGCCTATTACAAAATATTTATGATTATCCCTCGTTTATTCTTCGTTATTATGACGACAGCTATTTTTTTACTTACTAAAATCTGTTTCAGCAATGTCGAAACTTCTCCATATTGTTTGAACATATTGCTCTTTCCGAAATATTCGAAAGTGAGATGCAGCTTCGTACTCTAGGCTAGTTGGATAATCTAGAATAATCAAAATGCATACGCAGTTGACCGTCAATTTGCATGAGCGATTATATTGGACTTCCCTTCTAATTCTAACGCGCCGCTTATCGCTCTCGCGATTGGATTAAACGTAGGCAGGCAGTGCGGGCGGCGAGATAGACGGTAATGCGCTGTAAAGTTTACGACGTTATTTTGAACTTCACAAATATTTGTATCTAAGCTGTTGTTTGTGGAGTTATAAATGAAACAGACATCGCGATTTTTACTTCTTACAGAGAATAATAATTTTCAGAAGAAGCATATGTAGGACGTTTCATGTAATAAGAAACATACGATTTTTTTAATGATTTGTAATTATATTTTTTAAATTACTTTTCGCGTAAAACGCGTGCATCTAGAGTATCTAGACATTTGAATCTCGCGAATGATAATCAATCGGATAAACAGTCTGATTTGACTTGTACGCTTGTTTATTATCACGATATTTGCGCATGTATTCGACGTCACATCTGTCATCTCTTCGCAAAATTTTGGCCGCTCGATACGTATTTGCGTTCGGCCAAATTTTTCGCGCCGTGTGTCAGTTCCCCACTTATGAGATAATCGATTGCCAGTGCCGACTCGAGATATACTTAGTACGTCAGATTCGCGGCATTATTTTCGGTACGACCTTCGCCTAGACAATTCCTCACGTGTCCATGGCCGAAAGCAATTTATTCTTTCATCATTATATGCTACATTACGCGTAATTTTGCATTTTCTCGTGTTCGAGATTAGAGACGCTTTGCGAATTAAAATTAATATACGCTGCATACGTCTATTTGTCCCGTATGCAAATCAGCGTTCGGTAACGATTAAGAAAAAAAAAAAAAGAGATAATTTTCTGAGCTCACTGTGACAATGGAAAGACTTTAGAGTCGTGTCTTTTGATTTCTGTATATAATATAAACGTTTAAAGACACAGATTATGATAATTCAATAGACTAAATTTATATAGAAAACTTAAAATTATCCTGAAGATTTAATTAAAAAACTTTAAATTATACAGAAAGATTGAATTATTATCTATGTAAATACTTCTCTGTATTTCCAACCGATTAACTTGCGTGGTAAAAGATGTCAATATTCATTCATGCTTTAATTATATATTGATTATTAAAAGCAGAATATTCTTAATACTTGATACGCAGTGTGCTTATGTAAATTGTTTGTTCGATCGTTAAAATCGATTTGGCACATCGATCATCGCGTAAATTTATGGCACCTCGTAACAGATGATGCAAACGAACTACTTATATGGTAGCTACTTATATGGTTCGTATTTAAGTTTCTGCTGATAAAGAAAACTGACGGTCGACCGACGTTAAGTAACTGTAAAAAAAATTATTCACCGTTATTACTGATACGACTCAGAATGTGTTTGCTCGTGTAAAATAGTCATAACTAATTTTATTTTTTATTTTTTTCCATATAAGTAGTTCATAATTTGTTTATCTAATTTATGTAAGGAGATTTACACACAAATATTACGCAAATAATAGAAATGTAAGCCGCGCTTAAGCTGTTTCTAGAGTCACATTCACGGCATACCGGTTTTTTTATCCTTGCGATGCACGATCTAGAGTGATGTCATTCTGTCGTAACGTGTCCTTGATACTGTCAGTGCCGTCTCTAACTATCTCCATTAAACTACGTGAGTTCCGGAAATTTTATATTTGTGATTTATAGATGATTTTTATAGTTTTTTTTTTTACTCGTTTTGTGGCGCACTTTTTGTCTCCCAGTTTAGTGGGAAAAATTCAGCTGACAGCTATGTAGATGATATTAAAAGGACCGATCTCCACCGTCAACATTGACCTCGACACGCATACGCAAATATGCAGATACGCGCGTTTATGTGTATACGTAAATATCAAAGTCTAGTTCGCGCTTAAATATAGTCCGCCACTAGCCAACCAAGGTTTCGCTGACTAGCGTTTTGCTGCAACAAGAACCAGATTATTTCGGGTGAACATACCTCCGTGGTGTGTAAACAATCTACCCGATTCGCGTCACGTGCGATTACGCTCGCTTTACGTAAAGAAATACACGTTATCTATTTACTAGTCTCAACTTCAAATCTACTTCAAATCTCGAATCTTCGGGATTATTATAGCGGTGCCTTTCAATAAAAAGACTCAGTAAAATATGACATTGATACGAAAGATGCCACATGATCACGTAACATATTGCAAATGTGTACATACATCATTGATAAGATTTTGAGATAAAAATATCATTGATTGTACGAGAAAATTAAAAATTCCTCATTGTAATAATCTTTGTATTATTGTGTATCTTCGTGATTTAAAACTCTTTTTTGAACTAGTTCGATGAATCATGTATTGAATAAGTGGATCATATTTTTAGAATCATAGAATGATAAAATACCGATGCATTTTGGAACAAAAGAAACAGGAATTTCTTGTGCTTAACAAAAATTCGATAAGATGCGTGCGATAAGAATATCTGCCGAACATCCGTTCATTATCAGTAAAGTTTTGGTAATATTTTCTCGCTGTATAGATAACATTAACATTTCGTAATATTGAAATGCGTGCGGATAAGTCGAATTGTCAATTTGTCTGGAGGCTGGATAAATGATTACTCTATGAAAATTGTTATTAATGTTTTAGACGTACTTTGATTTATAATGACATAAGCAAACGCGAAATAAATACCTAATACTTAAAACTAAACTTACTAATAGTATTTACTAATAGATATGCCTTCTCGTGATAAACCGTATAAACATTAGACTACACGTGCTGTAATCTGCAGTTGTTGACGTGGAATCCAAAGTACAGAAGTTCACGAATGCTAGTTGGCTGTCTATCAGCGCTGCGTAAAATAATTTTTCCTTTGTTAACCTTCGTAATTGAATGTGATTACACGTAACAGTAATATGCGACAATAATGCAATATATACATATGATAACACTCTAAATTAATATTCTTTCAATTCTCGTCATATGATTCACTACAAAAATATACCGATAAGCTCTTATTACAAATTGCATTACGATTAAAACTATATGTATAACGAAAATTAACTATACGTAAGTGTAAATCTTATCTATGTAAATATTAAACTTTTTATCAAAGTGTAAGATAACACTGTAAAGTGTGAAATGGAAAAATAACGAGAAACATCGTCGGTGATGTAAGCGTTATTTTAGGACATGAAAAGATGCGTTTGAATACTATAGCGCGCACAAAAATAGATTAGAAAATCTGAATTGTTCGATTTCCGTGCCGATCTGATTTCGGGTGAATTTTACGCCGATAGAATCTTGACCTGTGCACAGCGAGGATTGTTTCTCAATTCTTCTTTTTTTTTTATTTGCAGATCAGGCGGTGTACGTCCAGGGCGCGGCGGCGACACCCGTTGAATTACTGAGAGCGATGACCGACTACGGGGTACGCTGCGATGTGAGAAACGTCCGTTTGTATCACATGCATCTCGAGGGGTCAGCCCCGTTCGCTAAGCCAGAAAACGCAAGTACGTTTACATTCGTGCGCATACGTAATCTCCTGCTGCCTTTTTAAAATATCGTAACCACGCGTCTCAATAACAACTCGTCATTGAGACGCGTTGTTTTGTTCCTCGCACTTTTTCCGCGTCGCACAGCTGACTCCATACGTTCGACTTTTGTCTCTCCGTTTTGCATACCTCCGTTTTTCCGCTCGAATTAGCTTGTATCTACAACTTTTTTTTCTTCTGAAAATTGGTCGTAAATACACTTTATTTCAGAAGCTTATTTTGTGAGAGACAAAGCAAAGATTTTTATTTAAATTTACTCCGAGAAATTCAATTAGAAAACTTTAAGAACAAAACCTTCCTAATAACTTATTCTTACGAATTTAATGCATTTGTATGTTCAGAGCACTTTAGATCCGTCAGCTTGTTTATCGGTGGCAACGTGCGACCCGCGGTGAACGCGGGCAACGCCGACTGCATTCCCATTTTTCTGCATGAGATTCCGCGTCTCTTCAAGGAAGGCTACCTGAAGCCTGACATCGCGCTCATCCATGTGTCGCCGCCGGATGACAAGGGTTACTGCTCCTTCGGTACCAGCGTAGACTGCGCTCGGTCTGCTGTCAGTCATTCCAAATGTGTCGTAGGTAAATTTCAGAAAAAAATCTCGCAGAAGACTTACTCTCTTCTTGAAATAATAGAGTTTAAAGAAAATCAAAATTTTCGCAGCCTTAGTCAATAAGTACATGCCTAGGACCTTCGGCGACGCTCTCATTCACGAAAGCCATCTGGATTTCGCCGTGGAACATCACGAGCCACTGCCGGTTCATCCGGTGAAGCCGCCTTCCAAGGCTGAGCAGATGATCGGCAAGCACATCGCCGAGAATCTGGTGGTGGACGGTGCCACGTTGCAGCTGGGTATCGGCAGCATACCCGACGCCGTGCTCTCGGGACTGGGTAATCACAAGGACCTCGGTATCCACAGCGAGATGTTCAGCGACGGTGTGGTGGATCTCGTGAACAAGGGTTGCATCACGAATAATCAAAAGACGATGCACCGGGGTCGAATTATCGGTTCATTCTGCGTGGGCTCGGAGAAGCTCTACGAATTTATGGACAACAATCCTTTCATAGGTCAGTTCGTCTGTGTTCGTCTTTCGTTTGTAATTATTGTTAATTAGTAAATCGCAGAAAGGCTTATGTGACGGTTTTTATTTGTTACAGAGATGCTGGTGGTAGATTACGTCAATGATCCCAGAATAGTCGCCAAACAACCGAAGATGACTGCCATCAATTCGTGTATCGAGGTGGATATCACCGGTCAGGTTTGTTCGGACAGTATTGGAACGAGAATGTACTCCGGTTTTGGAGGACAATTGGATTTTATAACGGGCGCCGCGATGAGCGAAGATCGACAAGGAAAGCCGATCATAGCGCTTCAATCAGTCACCGCTAAGGGCCAGAGCAAGATACAGTCGGTTTTAACGTCGGGTAAATAAATATAACTATTTCTTCAATTAAAACATAGATTTATATTTAATCCTGATTTTTAGAATTATTAATCTCCGCATTGATTTTGATAGTTGAAAATATATGAAATAAATATCCTGATAATTTCGTCACGCTTTGCTAACAGGTGCTGGAGTAGTTACCAACAGAGCGGTGGTGCGATACGTAGTGACAGAGCAGGGAATCGCCAGTTTGTTTGGCAAGAGTCTTCAGCAACGTGCGTACGAGTTGATCAAGGTGGCTCATCCCGATCACAGAGAAGCGCTCGAGAAATCTGCGTTCGAACGCTTAAAAGTGATGCCCGCCCCTTAAGCCGAAAAAACACGTGATATAGGAAACATCATATTTAATAGCATTTTACAATCACCCGTGTGCTTTAGCCACGCACAACGGCCAAAGTATCGCGAAGTGTCTTCTTCTTGTACAATATTGTACGTGCTCTCTTACAAGAAGACAATTCGCCGGCCTTTTAAAATGAGGAGAGAGAGAGAGAGAGAGAGAGAGAGAGAGAAATCTGTACTAGAAAATATACAGAAAATTTAATGCGCTAAAATTGTATCATTATGTATGTAAGAATTCGTAATACGAGATCGCACTTGTTTCCATATACATAATTATTAATTTAAGCCACGTGTGTTTTATATTGTGAAAAGAAACGTGTTCGCGCCGTAGAACACGACATTTAGACAGAAAATGGCGCAATTCGCCATTGCCGTTTCTAGTTGTAAACGTTTTTTATATCTGTCAACGTTCCTTTGTATAATTTATCATGTTACCACATATTGTAATGAGAAAGTTGAAATGAAATAGGAAAAAATATATAAGATGAGAATGCTGATCGTTGATACTTCATTATATCTCTTCAGTATATTTTTTTTAAAAGGAAATAATGTTTGCGTTTACATATTCATATTCAAAATGCGCGAAATTCACATCGATGATTCGTCCGCGAATTGTGAACGCTGTCGAAAAATCGAACGCCGTCAATTCAGATGTTCAAATAGCGATTTGTAGAATGGAAATGGCAACGAATTCGCTAGACATATGCGACTAGCGCGACCTTTCGGATTATGTATCGTATAAATTTTCACAAAAACATTGAATTGCCGTGTTATCAACGAGATCTTGCGGATTTGGCGATTTCGATAAGATGTTCCGAAACCTGAGATTGATGCTTGGAAAAATTCGGCAAGCGAAACCTTTCCAATTATGTGGACAGCGATATTTGCAAAACTTGAGGGAACCCTCTCAACCTTTAAAACGATGCCCAAAATGGGTGTGTGTGGAAGACGCAGTAAAGATTATAAATTCAGGTATTTACAGCCATGTTACATTTTAGTAGACCGATATTTAGATTCTATATTTTTTGTAAGAAAATTATTTTTTCCAAGAATGTTTTTAATTAAATAAAATTGACAATTTGTCTAAAAATTATCTAGATTCATTGAATTTAAATATATTTCTACAGTTATTACAAATTTTTAAATTTTAAATAAAAAAATAAGGTAATTGGAAACGTTTCTTATTAATAAATACACGGCAAAATATGTACTGTTATAAATTCTGCTATAACACAAATCAACCTCTTGTAAATGAACTATTCTCTTTCGCAGAACACTTGGTTTTCATACAAGGTGGTGCAGCCACGCCGATGGAATTAGTGCGCGCCATGACCGAGCACGGAGTGTGCAATAATTTGCGTGGGGTCAGATTAGTGCATATGAATCTCGAGGGAGATACACCGTTCGCCAATCCGGAATTTGAGAGTACGGTATTTGCGATAATTATTCCTCATCGATAAAACGATATGCGAGAAATAAGTAATGAGACATCTGCGACGGTATTCAAGAGCATTTCAGGTCCATCAGTCTGTACGTGGGCGCTAATCTCAGGGAGGCAGTAAATGAGGGTCGGGCGGACTACATCCCCGTATTCCTGCACGAGGCGCCGAAGTTGTTCTTCGAGAAAAAAATCGTGCCAGATATTGCGTTAATCCACGTGAGCATGCCGGATGCACGTGGATTCTGCTCGCTCGGCGTGAGCGCGGATTTCACCCGTGCTGCAATTTGCACTGCCAAAGTTCTTATCGGTTCGTCTCGAATTAATAATAATAATGTGATACTGATTGTAATAATCGTACTTAATAATTGTGTGCAACAAGAGACAAAACTATCCTAATCTATTGATCAGCAAGTAGATATTAATTTTCAAAATCATTATGTCTTACTTAATACAATGGTATTAATATTTTCAAATAATTTTAAGATCATGAAAAAAAATATTCCTTTTCAGCGCAAGTAAACGAGCACATGCCGAGGACGTTTGGCGACACGATTATCCATTCGAGTCACTTCGATTGGGCGGTGAGATTTGACTGTCCACTGCCCTGCATAGCTTGTCCAACGCCCAACGAACTCGAGCAAGAAATCGGTAAGATTATCGCGCAGCGATTGATCGAGGACGGAGCGACGCTACAGCTCGGCATAGGCTCCATCCCCGACGCGGTGCTCTGCGTCTTGGGCAATCACAAAGATCTGGGCATACATTCTGAAATCATTTGCGACGCGGTGGTCGACCTGGTCCATTACGGCAACATCACGAACAAGTGCAAGACCAGGCACAGAGGACGCATAGTCAGCTCCTTCGCCATCGGCACGAAAAAATTGTACGATTTTCTGCACAACAATCCGGCCGTCGGTAATTATGACCAACTGGTTTACTTTGACGGCTTTGCAAAAGGACGTTCTCGTGTTACAATCTCACAATATCGCAATTATCGCCATTCTAGAGATGCTAGCGATCAATTACGTGAACGATCCCCGAATCATCTCGATGCAGCCGAAGATGACGGCCATCAACTCTTGCATCGAGATGGACCTCACCGGCCAGGTGTGCTCGGACAGTTTGGGTTGTAAGATATATTCCGGTTTCGGCGGCCAGCTGGACTTCATTCGAGGCGCGGCAATCAGTCAGGACGGTCGTGGGAAAGCTATCATCGCGTTCCCCTCGGTTACCAGTCAAGGGGAGAGTAAGATACAACCGGTGCTGAAACTCGGTATGCAATCAGATTCAGCGAATGAATGCTCTGAGAGCACAAGTTTTTTTTATTACAAATATATTCAATTAATTAATAAATTTATATTTGACGTGTCTTTTACACACAGGGGCCGGAGTAGTGGTAACAAAAGCTCATGCTCATTATATAGTCACGGAACACGGAGTGGCGAATCTTTTTGGTAAAACCTTACGACAAAGGGCGAATGCACTGATCCAAATTGCACATCCTGATCACAGAGAATGCCTCGAAAAGGCCGCATTCGAGCGCTTGAAATCTAATCCGACGAAATATCTATAACACTTGTGATATGTAAATGTAAGTCGTGGTAATGGTCCAAGTCCTATTCTGGTAGTAAATTTTGATAAGAATATTGATAAGAATATACTGCATTGGAAAACTAATAAATTTTATATTTTGTTGATAAATATAATTGTATTTACAATTTCAAGAGAATAAAAATGTATATATATTAAGTATGTCACAATGATAGGAACATTCATGTATATTAACATAGTCGTAATGTGCTAATCTCGATACTTCATTTGTTAATGAAGTAGTTGAATATTCTAAAATAAGCTGTTAGTTTGGTCAAATGAAAAGACAAGCATTGTAGCAATTGGTGGACGGATGTATCACCACTGTGGTGGCTTAATTACGATTCCAGATATCGAGGACAGGAATGCCGATTAGTTTACTTGCTTACTTCGGCGTCAAGAAAGCTAAACAATTCTTGAGAGGAATCGACAAATCTGGCTGTATGAAATTGCAAAAAAAAGCACAAGGCAAATTCCATTCCGGAGGTTATTGGGAACTTCTCCCTTGTAATTGTAAACACAATGGGTCTAGCACAAGGTTTCAATTCCTACCGCGATATAGTATTGTCACCGTCAACGCGGAGTTCTTGGCTGAGTAGTCAAAAGCTTTAAGAAATTAATTTCGCTTTTTTTCTTATTGTTCTTTCTTTCGACAGATCGTCATAATGGCGAGAGACGAGGATGGTTCATCCACGAGTCTTCAACAATCGGAGCAGATTACTATTACTCTCATAGATATAAATGGCGACGCACCGTTTCTCGATATGCGTACAGTTACTTAGGACGAAAATAAGGCACTCGGTAAGATAATTTGAGTTGAAGGCGCGCGATTACGACTCCGACGAGAATAGTCCGCCGTTCGAGTACAGAATCGACGAAACCGCGAGCGATGAAATCCAGTCTAAATTTGAAATACGCGGAATTAATTTGTACGCGCGAGTACGATTTGATCGGGAAAGTCGGAAGAGTTACGAGATACCGATCGCGATCACGGACAGTGGTGCACCGCCTATAACCTCGGGTACCTCGACGCTCACTGTGATCATAGATAACGAAAATGACAATGTTATGCGCGAGGGCTCGATCTCTGTATTTCTTTACAATTACAAGGGAGAAGTTTCCAACAGCCTCCGGAATGGTTTGCTTGTGCTTTTTTTGATGTTGATCACATATGCGATGTCACGTGTGTGACCATTTCATTTGACCATAAATGTCAGATCTAGAACCTAACAAATGTTAGAAGTCTATACCTTCTGGTAGCGTTCCCTCTTTTCTTCTCTTCTCAACGTTCTCGTAATACTCGGAAAAATCTACGTAAGGCTTAATTCTAGCATTTCGATCCGCCATTCTGGCGCCAGGCGGATACAAATCTGACGTCGTTGACGTTGTGGTCGTCGATGTGTCGACGTTGTCATCTACAACGCTCGTGCTGGTGCTCGACAGGTCCTCGTCCTTGTCCGGTATGCTGATCGGCGCGGTCTGCACCACGGGATTAAATCTGACCGACTGACTGGTCGGACTCTTTAGCGCGTGCGGTAGCGGGAAGTTGCAGTTCCGCACCAGGAGAGTTATGTCGTCGCGCTTGCCGGTGGTCATGGTGTTCTGCGTGTTGCTCATGTTTACGTCGTGATGAATTCTCACGACCTTGTCCACCACCGCCTGGGCGACTCCGGTTAAAGTCGACTGTACTCGAAACTAGAATCGCAGACATTTCATAATAAATTTGCACACAAGATTTTAAATGAGAATCATTAAAATCGAGATTTACTTGGATCAATTACTGCTACACACCTGCTCGACCGCTATCAAGGCTAATTCCTTATTAACTTGCTCGGTACCGGTCGCCTCCTCCAACGATTTATACAGGCCACGCGACATGAGCAATAAAAATCTACAGGATTCGTCCAGCTCGATACTTCCATGGATTTCCGGTTCGGCAATGATCGGCTCCGCCCTCGAGGCTGTTAGCTCTTCGAACTCTCTGTATCCCCCCTTGACAAGATAGTTACCGAGGCAACGTGTGTTTTCCTGATTTCCAAGATGAGATCCTGCAATATATCCAATATTCCAATTTATCCAGAATTCTATTTTTAGCAAAGCAAGTGTCAAAGAAGATAAATCAAATTTACCTTGCCTGATCGATTCGACGTCCAAGCCCAATTGAGATAATCGCAAAAGCTCGTCCTCGTTTCTCAAATCATGATCTACGCTTAATTGTACAACTCGTAAAACTTGATTGCTATCTGTTTTGCACAACAGTGCTCTGCTGTCTCCGACATTCGCGACGTAGAGCCTCCCTCTGTAGACTAAGGCGACCACAGCACTAGTCCCAGCTGACAGCTCGCAATTTAGCGCGTTTAGCTTGTCAACCTGCAAAAAAAATAAATTGCAATGATACAATTAAAAAGAAAGTAATTGCACAACTTTAATACTACGCGACTGACCAGATCCGGATACTTTTGGTAGGTCTCATAGGGAGTCAGTCCGTCAGGTATGTCAAACTGCAGACTAGCCCGTTCTGCTAATAAATCACCAATTGATTCCAGATATCCTTTCTCAACTGCTATGAATGCCTGCCTGCAGAATAAATACTTTGCATGTAGGATCCATTTTTATCACTATACACATTAGCTTATTCAAAATATATATTAAAGTTACATTGAAATTGTTTCCTATTTCAATTCCTATTTAAATTTTGTCATGTCAATAAGATTTTTACCGGAGAACTTCCTTCACCTCCTCGTCGGTTGATTTGCCATTCAACTGCCCAAGCAGGATCTCTGCGGCCATCCTTTGCATAGCAAAGTTGGCTGCCTTAGTACCTTCATGGCCGTCGAATACGGCGTAAAGAAATGTGGAGTCGTCATATCTACAATGAAAACTACGATCCTCAAATGGATGCTCCTCTTGGCGATATCCATCTTCTCGATAGATTTGATTGGTAGAAAAGCCTACTCCTGGAAACATAACATAAAATTTGCCATCACATTCTAATAACTTTGCTGTACAAACTAAAACATTTATCATTAAAATTATATAATAATTTTTACAGTTATCAAATGATGTTTAATGTAATAAAGCATAAATTTAATATAGTTGAAATAAGGTCGAGATATTTATTTATAGCTTATATATTCTTTATGACAAGTCTAATCGAAGATGATAAATAATTATTATTAAGATGATAATTATTATTAACAAAAAAAGAGTCAACGTATTATCCATTCTATGTAAACATTATAATAATAAATGTATCAGCAAAGCTAGTATGACAGAGTTATCGTTTGTAAATTAATACTTGTCAAAAGATATTGTAATTCGTCAAACTGAGAATGTATAATTCTCTCCCAAAAAATTAGCTTCATGCTGGAAATGCCAATTGCTGAATACTTGGTCAATAATGAATTAGAAAAACTTGGAAAACAAAGCAAAACATACCGGACTGCTTGCAAACTGGTAGATCGTCCGTCCAATTGTACTGACTGTCCTGAAAGGGCATCGAAGCTGGACGTTCCGCACCCGCAGACATTTCTTTCTATTTTACCTCAATTCATGTAATCAGTGAAATGTAACAGAAAATTATTTTGCACGGTCCTGCAAGGTAGAAAATAGAGTGTAGTGACAATACACACGAGGTTCTCGGATTTCATTCGTTCACTGCTACCAACTGCTACTGCGTTGCGCATGCGCGAAAAAAGCATCTTTTCGACATGGATCGACGATTGACGTCTTGGTTATCTGTTGTGTTGACGTCTGTTTGTGGTTAAAATTGCATGGAATACAGTGCAAAATTTAATTAGATAGACTAATAATAAAACAAATAATTTTTGCTGTAATATATCACAGTCTTCTTCGAATATTTCTTCATCGTGAATATTTCTGCAATGAGTCAGGTTAATCAGGATAGCAGCGAACCTTCGATAAAGGTTAGTTAAAATATTTTGTTGCGGATTCTATTTTATAATACACGCATTTTACGCTGTAATTAAGCTCCCTTTAAATCTTTGCGTGTAGTACGTTTGCAATATAACGTATATTTCTTTATATCATACATTTGTATTAAATTGTTTTAATTGTAGAAGTACAGAATGGAAGAGGAAGAAGACAGCCCTCTGGACACGGATCACACGGATGACGATTACGAGCCGTACGTATCTGTCAAAGATCGTAAAAAGCAATTGCTCACGAAATTGGGGAAACTCGGACAGTTAAAAGAGGATGCTATCAATGGCGTCGGGAAGAGTAGCAGTGAGAATGAGAAGGATGATGCCGACAACGACGACGGACAGGTCTGGGGAAGGAAATCCAACATTTCTCTTCTCGACCAACATACCGAATTAAAGAAATTAGCTGAAGGTACAGAATCTTCATAAACAGTTTTAGTCATCACAATATTAATGCAAGAAGCGTTACAATTTAAAGGCCATTGCGTGTACAAAAATTTTAATCATAAGTATATCAACCAATCACAATCGAGTGCTTTAAAATGTAAGACTAAAATTTTGATTGTGATTAGTCATTTGAAGAAATTAGCTGAAGGTACAGAATCTGTACAGTTTTAATCACAACAATAATGCAAGAAACATGTTATAACTTAACATGTTACAATTTAAAGGCCATTATATGTACAAAAATTTTAATCATAAATATATCAACCAATCACAGTCGAGTGCTTTAAAACGTAAGACTACACTTTTGATTGTGTTTAGTCAATTTGCTTTCAGTCTTACAGCTAAAACTTTTTTTTACATGTAATAGCTTTAATTAGGACAAACTCTTTTAATAATAAAATTCTTCTTGTAACAGCCAAGAAGGAGAGCGCAATGGAGAAGCAGTTGAAGGAGGAGGAGAAGATTCTGGAGAGCGTGGCTGAGAACAAGGCTCTGATGGGTGTGGCTGAATTGGCCAAGGGCATTCAATACAAGGATCCTATCAAGACCAACTGGCAACCGCCGAGAATAATACTTAATCTCGGTGAGATGCGTCACGAGAGAGTGCGCAGGAAGCTCAGGATACTTGTGGAGGGTGACGAAGTGCCGCCACCTTTGAAAACTTTTAAGGAAATGAAATTTCATAAAGGAATCTTGTACGGATTGGAACAGAAGGGTATCGTCAAGCCAACTCCAATTCAAGTCCAAGGAATACCCACAGTGTGAGTATTTAATTACAATCACATTAATTGTGCCAAGTAATTATGTGATACATTCATTGAACGGTACAAATGTTAAAATACTTGCAGATTGTCTGGTCGCGACATGATTGGTATAGCTTCCACCGGTAGCGGTAAAACGTTGGTGTTCGTTTTACCTATTATTGAATTTTGTTTGGAACAAGAAATCGATATGCCGTTCATTAAAAAGGAGGGGCCTTACGGTAAATACCATACATTTATTATATAAATAAATATAATATTTGATTATATATGTATAATACATACGTCAATATTAATATTTTTTTTATCTGTAGGCTTGGTAATATGTCCTTCGAGAGAATTGGCTAAGCAAACCTTCGACATAATTCGGCACTACACCAATAGCTTAAGGCACATGGACTGCCCAGAAATACGCTGTTGCTTGGCAATCGGAGGTGTGCCGGTTTCGGAGTCATTAGCTGTAATCAACAAGTTAGTTTTTATTATCGTTAAATATATTTTGCATATTTTTATCTTTAATATGTCGCAAACTTATTTTTTTACGTTATTTATAGAGGTGTACATATTATGGTAGCGACTCCAGGACGATTGATGGATATGCTACATAAAAAGATGGTCACTTTAAGTGTATGCCGTTATCTCTGCATGGACGAGGCGGATCGCATGATAGACATGGGGTTCGAGGAAGATGTTAGAACAATATTTTCATTCTTCAGGGTAACTATTATTTCGTGCATTTTATGCAACGTGAAAAAGTTAAATGTTTTATTGAAATAATAAAAAATAATAACTATCGTCTATTACAGGGTCAGAGGCAAACGCTTTTGTTCTCTGCTACTATGCCGAAAAGAATTCAAAACTTCGCACGTTCGGCGTTGGTGAAACCCGTAACGATAAACGTTGGCCGCGCCGGCGCCGCGTCGATGAATGTGATACAGGAAGTGGAGTATGTCAAGCAAGAGGCTAAGATCGTTTATCTCTTGGATTGTCTTCAGAAAACTGCACCGCCGGTCTTGATATTCGCAGAGAAGAAGCGCGACGTGGACGCCATCCACGAGTATCTGCTTATAAAAGGAGTGGAGGCTGTTGCGATACATGGAGGAATAGGTACGTGATATTTTGGATAAGCTGCATCTTATTCGACCTTAGTACGTTGATATAAAATTATCGCAGGATTACTGATGAGTCGCATTAATCCTTCAAAATATCAAAATGAATGTTAAATATATTCGTTCATTTTATTATGTGCTTTCAGATCAGGAGGAAAGATCGCGTTCAGTGGAAGCGTTTCGCGCGGGTCGAAAAGACGTGCTCGTTGCGACAGATGTTGCGTCGAAAGGTCTCGATTTCGCCGATGTGCAACACGTTGTTAATTACGACATGCCGGACGATGTAGAAAATTACGGTAATATATATATGATAAATTAAAAAAAAAACGGTAATTTCGCGAAAAAAACGTGCGACAGATGTTTAATGTACTTTTGTAATCTTTAGTGCACAGAATAGGACGAACTGGTCGTTCCGGGCGTACTGGTATAGCGACGACTTTCATTAATAAAGCGAACGATGAATCGGTACTGCTTGATCTTAAACATCTGCTGATGGAAGCGAAGCAAAAGGTGCCACCGTTCTTGCTGGAACTCTGCTCGGAGAATGAAAAATATCTCAATCTGGGAGGTAGGATAATAGTGGACGATTTACATTTTTTTTTCTCCATCATTTCTTCTCATCATGAATTTATACCGTTCTATTTCTTGTAAACTTAAAAATATTTTTCTTGTTTCATCGTAGACGAACGCGGATGCAGTTACTGTGGTGGTCTCGGACACAGGATTACAGAGTGTCCGAAATTGGAGGCTGTGCAGAACAAGCAGGCGTCCAATATTGGGCGTCGCGATTATCTGGCTAGTAACGCCGCCGATTATTAAGCAATTCATTTTAAAATTGTATTGTAAATATGTATATATATGTAAATTCATTTTTTATGGTAATGTTATTTTGACAGTAATCAATAAAAAATAAAATAGATATTCGAACTAAATGCTGTATACATATGTTCATTTATTGCATTGTCATTCGGATATATAATATTTTCGTTTATATAATACATTCATTTCGTGATATATTGTAATTTTCTTTTTAATTACTTGATTGAATCCTCAGTATTTTGTGTCACTGTATAAGTTAAATTTTATATTCAATATAAAAATTGTATGAAGTAAAAAGATCCTCTCCGTTTTTGCCAACTTCAGAGATACGGTCACTTTAACGCGTTTCGCGAAAACGAAACAAAAGCTGCCGTGTATCTGTCACCAGTGATTTCTTCGCATGCTAAATCACACAAACCCTTCCAGGTCTGTCACAATACAAAATTCCTACGCATAATGACAAATTAATCGATCCGGCCTTAATTAAGCGCCGGTTATATGCTGCCAGGATGGACCGTTAATATATTGCAAGCTTTCGCAACATGAAAAAATACTGGATCCATTATTTGAGCGCCAAGAAAAGTCATCGCGCTAATCGGAAAAGTTTATCTTTTGGAAACTCCAGAAAATACATTTTTACAAGGTTTTTAAAATACTTTTTTAACAGTCATTCAGTCTAAGTCATGTTTTTTTTATATTATTTTCCTGGATAGTACTGGATAAACAAATTATAATGCCGCAAAGTGTCATAAAATATCTTTCCCGCAAAGACCACATGTCGGCGTGTACTAATCTGACTGAATGTAAAAGAATCATTATATTTTTGTCAAGAAAAATTAAACACAATTTAGCAAAGAAACTTTTTGTTAGAGTTTCACGGTAAAGATGAAAGCAGCCTCTGTATCCGCTTGTTGCAATAAAATTGTATAATAAAGGAATAATATTATACCAAAAATATTGTGTGTATATTCATCCTTGGATGTCAAGAATCACCTAACATCGACGACGACAACGATCGACGATGGCGAGCCGGAAACCGCGAATTCAACCCGCTCTCACAAAGACGCAGGCACTACGACAGGCGAGGAGTGCCACTATAGTGAAAGAGTACGAGCAGAGGGAAACGGGACGACCATCACAGCCGCAGATCTTGGCAGAGCCTGCAGGCAGAAGGCGGCGATATGCTCCAGCCGAGCCGAGGAGAGTCGAATTTACCAGACCGACTATGACGAAGGCGATGATGGCCCGGGTGAAGCATGCGGAGAAGATCAGGCAAGAATATGAACGTAAACAGGAGGAGCCGGTGCGAAGGGTGCCAAGAAGAGCACCTGCGCCAATCGGTGGTGATCCCAGGTGAACTTGGAAAATTATGTGCAGCTTTCTCCCGTATTATTTCGACTGGGAGTTTCTAAAACTCGGTCGCTTTGTACGTTGAACGTTGCTTCTTTAAACAATTAGAAAGATTTTTTTTAATACGCGTCTTAAATATGTTTTGCAATTTGTTTTTCACTCTTGCATCTCTATATAGATTTGGTAGAGAAAGGGTACCACCTAGAAGACGCGTCCCGACGCCGTCTCCACCGGTTTCGCCTCCTAGAGCAGCGAGAAGGCCAGAAAGACGAGTGATGCCGGAGAGAAGAGCACCAGAACCGCTGCCGGCTATTCCAGAGAGGACCAGGGAATTGGCGAGATCCATGAACGCCCAGGTGATTCAAGCCGAGCCGGTTGGCGAGGGCCCGATCGACAGCATCGTGATACCGCCGAGATCGCTAAACGAGAATCGCACTACCATCGTCAGCATCCCTCAACCACCTGCAGCCACTGTCGAGGCGGCAGCATCCGAAATGGCGAATCGCTCGATTCGAGCAATCAGGTGCAACTTGAGGACATCCCGATGATAATAATGCTTTGGAAAAGTAGATGAATAAAAATATGGAAAAAGAGAGAGAGTCATTCCTATGAGATGAAAGATTCCGAATTTCCTTCACCTTTTTTTAGCCTAACGCAAAAAATCCAAATGTGGAATATAAAAAAAATTATATGTATTTTAATGTGCAATTTTACGGCAAGAAATTGGAGCGTGTTCAAATTTTTGGTTCTTCCAATGAAAGCGTCAAAATAAATTTAAGGAACTCGATCAAAACTATATAAATAAATATTGAAAATTTCTTCGCTCGTGAAATAAATAAATTCAAAAGAATTTCTTTTAAATCGTTCATTTCATAGATTAATAATATCTGTTGATCATATTGTTTGGTAGTGAAACCCTCAATGAACAAGAAGCTGTAGAAGCGGCCACGGTGCAGGGCAAGTTGGAAGACTTACAGCAAGCAAGACGGGATTTTGTGATGGCTGTGGCGAATGTCGGCGGTAACGCCGTAAAGCTCGCGGAAGAGGAGAGACCTAGATACGTTTACAAGTGAGAATATCATGAGAAAGAGAGAAAGAATTAAACTATTGCATGTTGAAATTTTGGTTGTCCGAGCTCAATATGCAAATTTATATTTTTAATCAAGCTTTACGAAAGCCAATTAATATAAATTGTAAGAAATAAAAATGTAAACTGAATGATCTATATACATATATGTAAGTAAAAATTTCAAATTAATGATAACATAAAAAATGATCAACATAAAAAAAAATAGAATAACATATAATAGAATAAAATATAATAAACATAGAATAAAAAAATTGCTAATTCGCGCATCTGGAAAATCGGAATACTACAAATTTACTTGCTGTTAAAATAAATTTGAGATTAGCACTGGAGCACCTCGTTTACGATAACAATGCACTAAATAACAATCGCTAAATGAGAAACGGAAATGGAAACAAGTTTTTCGACAAAGTTTCATCAAGTTACTCAACGTACCCATGTATATATAGAGTTCCTGACATCGAGAGCGAGATGTTCCGCGTCGAATACGGCCGAGAACATCCAAGTGTTGTTGCGGCTCGCGAATTCGCCCAAAGGAGTATGGCCGGGATCAGGGCGCGTGAGGCAGCTCGCCGAACCGAACGGGAATTCGAGAGGATAGCGCAGGAACCGCTGCCGGAGGATCTGCGCTTCGATGTGCCGTTCGAAGAAGAGTTTTTACGCGAGGCCGACATATCCTGGGAGGAGGAGGAGGACATGCCGCGTGTGTCCAGGATAAAGGCCACCATGCGCGAATTACCGAGGCGCGAGGTACCCTACGAATATTCTCCTTTCGACCCGGAGGAGCTCGAGAGGTTCTTCGACGTGGAACAATATCCACAAAGTCCGCTACGTGGACCACCACCCGGTCGCGAGCACCTGCCGCCAGAACTCTGGGAGCTGGAAGATCCTTGGGCGACATGCGGCGTCTGTCCGCGGCAAGAAGCGTCCGATCTCATCCGCTTCGAGAGCCCTTAATCTCTCGTACATAATCATGTACATAATCTGACAGACTTGTGTCCGTTTCCAAGTTTCGGGGATATTTTGGAGAAAAAGTACAGTCGAATTTGAAATATATGTACCTAATTTCATTTTTTTTTTCATTGGTTCGTTATATAGCATTGAAATAATTTGCAGAAGCGTAATGAGAGGATCCAATGAAGAAAATAGGCCGATAAATTGAGCGTTAAAAAACGCTCGCAGAAATACGAATCATCATTTATCATCAACATCCGTCATGCATCACTTAATTTATCACAGAGAAATTGTCCAAAGTATAATAAACTGTCCAAGTATAATACACTTTGTATTTAAATTTATAAATATTATATTACACATTTTTAAATAAATGTACATTATAGGTTTAAAAAAATATACTTGGTTCCTACATTTAATTTATCTTTCGAATGCGAGTAAAAATAATAATTTTAATTATTATTATTTTAATTATTATTAATATATTAAGTGTTCATAAAAAACAAATTAATAATTCTAAAATTACGATTTACTTCTTCCACACCTTCAAAATTCCACATCAACTTTAATTTCGATATCATTTAGCGTAAGAAAATACATTCACAATTGTTTGGAAGAAGATCTAACAAACAAATGAGAAATTTATCAGAGAAACTAGAAGACATGCTTATCTTATCATTGTTATTTCATTATACTTTCAACGTATCACACTATATATTATTACATAGCACTCAAACGTTATATCGTAAAAATGTTCAAAACTGATATGATATCACAATATACAGAATATCCTATAACCCTTAATTAATATTTCGAAGAGTAAAAGATAATGAAATTTTGAACTAAAAGTTTCTTTCCTAATTTAGATTCAGATCGTCTTTTTTTATTTACAGTGTTATTGACGAATATAAAGTTGATTAATCAGATTGCGCCCAGCAAGAGATCGCAGAAACTTAACATGCCATGGGGGCTCCTCGCACTTACTGTACATTCTCTCGATTAAAATTTTGGTCTGAGCCAAAATTAGGAAAGAAACTTCTAGTTTATCAAAATTTTATTCTCTTTCACTCCTTGAAATATTCATTAAGAGTTATAAGACACCCGATAGAGAAATTAATGGTTTTGTGACAGATACGCATGTGGATCTAAATAATAGATTGACATTAATGATTCCTGACACACTATACTTTCGCAATTCTTGCTACAGATACATAAGTAGTTGTATAAAGAATGGAGAATTGTCTATAGCATGCTATACCGCAGTCTTTCGGAGAAATTGAGGCGAGTAATCATGCTAGAAAATTTTTTACGAGAGTACAATACCAACCGCATACTGTTGTCGGCCACAGGTCTCTGGCCGTTTCAAAATAAGCTCGTGAAAAATTTATTATGGACTTTCTGCTTCTTGGTCGAAATAAGTTATTATCCATTCGAGGTAATGTATATTAATCGATACGTTTTATTGAAAAAATAATCCCAACTATATTGATAAATATTTTTATAATTCTAACTATTATTTTTTTGTCATATGGTACATATAAACTATAACATTATACAATGGCATAATAAATTATAATATATTGTACGTGCTGTATACATATTTTTAAGATATGAATAGTGTGTTGCAATGTAATCATTAACGATTGATCAAAGAGATCGTATTAATAATACGCAATACACACAAACATATAAACTTATGTATTGTATAATACTTTTACAGATTTTTTTTTATATACAGATGTTGCTATTGTACGATCATCTGGATAATGCACAATTGGTTTTTGACGGTTGCTTTCAAATTTTAGGCTCGACACATTTCATCGCAAGGCACTTAAATGGTGTCTTTAATTTTGATAAAGTACGTTTTTCTTTTTATATAATTGTGCTGTCGAAGATAGCATATTTTTCCTATGATTGTGTTTCGGCGGTAAAATTATTTCAGCTATAATATATATTAAATCGTTTCTCCATGTTTATTGTTATCAGTTGCGATGGATATATGAAACTATAGACGAGCATTGGAATATATTTACGAATGATATAGAAGTTCAAGTCATGAAAGAATATTCTATGTCGTCGCGAAAATTTGTGAAATATTATTCAAGTGAGTACACATTGCTAAGAATAGTATCAATATTAATGTTAATCATATACTGATAAAATAATGTAATATACTGTATATATATAAAATTAACTAAGAAAATTTTACAATTTAAAAATAAAATTGAGAAATTCTCAATTTTATTTGCCATTGAAAATTAACGTATTAAAAAATCAAAATAAATTTTCATAAAATTCGTGCTAGATACGAATCCGTTAGACTTGAATAATGACATGTTTTAGACATGTTTTGTAACTTAATATTTTTATAATTCTATATTCTTATAAAGGAACTAAAGCGTCTTTCTTTCATAATATTACAGTACTATTCTTTTTCACGTTATGGGTGGTTTGTGTATTAGCGCCGTTATCACCGATATTCCTAGACGTCATAATGCCTCTTAATGAATCACGTACGCGATTTTTTTTGGTCGAAGTTGAATTCAGAGTGAATAAACAAGATTATTTTATACCAATTTTTTGTTACACTACCATTGTACTCATGGTCGGTATGACCATCATGGTGGGTGTTGATGCAACGCATATCGTATGCACTGCACACGCATGCAGTTTGTTTGCGGCTATCAGGTAAATACATTGCAGCTACAATAATAATTTCAATGCGCAAAATGCACACATATAATAGTGATATAATTATTGTAAGATATTAATCTTTGTACAACTGTATAATGTAAACGTTATGTATCACACAATTTATTTAGTTTTCGTGACATTGTAAAATTTATGTTTCATAGTAAGCAAATTGAAAATATATTTTCAAAAGCCAGTAATAGTAAAAAAATCGATAAAAGTGGATATAACATGAATATAGAACTTGATTCATCAAGCGAGGAAATAATATACCGCGAATATATATTATGTTTAAAGAAACATCAACTTGCTATAAAGTAAGAGCGTTTGTTATCTCTTAATTATTTCTTTATAAATCATATAGATATTGTGCTGTATAGGATCGGAGTATATTTGCTAATATTATTTCTGTTCTATAGATTTGTAAACGTATTAGAATCATCATATCAAGAGCTTTCGTTTCTTTTGTTACTATTGATTATTGCAACTTTAAGTTTAGTGGGAATTCGAGTAAGCATCAAGGATATTATTCTTTTAAGAATATTCTTATATTCTATCAACAAAAATTAAAAATAGAGTTATAAAATCATATAATAAACTGTGATAATCATTACACAAAATCTAAAATTGATTTGTATGTGTTCTAAGATTAATATTTCTATACAAAGAAATATAAGACTCAAGACTCAAAAAATCATTGATATTTCTGTTGATTAATACTTTTCACACATACAAGAATTGTAAATCGTCTGTGTTTGCAGATTATCCATGTATTACACAAAATCAATGAATTAATGAAATTTGCATGTATAATTGTTGAAGTATTAGTGGCTCTGATGATCGTGAATTACTCTGGTCAGAGATTAATGGACGAAAGTCAGAATCTATTCTACCGAGCGTAATAATAATTTTATTTCTTAAACGTAAAACTTCAAATTTTATTTAAGACGCTTTTATGATTCGACTTTTATAATAAAAATGTTGCTAATTAAATTATTAATAATTAATTTAAGACTTGCTAATTATTTTGTAATAAATTGTATCATGTCGTATGTCTATGTTAAATATACTCATGCTAAAACATACCGCATCATACATTTTCATTTGAAAACGTAACTTCCTTAGAAAAGTACGTGATAAAATAAATCAATAATTGAATTTATATATTTTTACAGATACGCGACAGAATGGTACAATTTCTCGCCTAGATTAAAATCTTTAATGATAATAACTCTTTACAGAAGTAATGTACCATGCGGATTAAAAGCAGGTAATATGATCCCATTATCTATTACCACTTATGCGGCGGTAAGTGAAAAATTGCCCAAAGTCTTTCTTTCGTATAATAGCATCATGTATGTAGAACTGTAAAACAATTTATTTGATTCCTTAAAGGTAGTACGAATGGCCATGTCCTACTTCACAGCGTTTATGTCAATTCAAGATTGATGAATGAATTTTTACTTAGTTTTTCACTAATTAATTGTCGTTTAATATGTTACAATGTTAATAAATAGTAAAAAAAATTTATGTTATTTATCCCACAATAAAATTATATATTGTCTTATATATATGTAAATCCTTGTTTAATTCCTTTTGTATTTTTAGAATTTTCACTTACAATTAGTACCTACTCTATATTTCTTTATTCAGCAACTATGTTAATATAAATTAATGTTATAACTTAAAGTTTAAAAGGTGATTTCTCTTATTTGTTCTATATAGAGATAATATTATCTATTTTATTAGTTGCATAAGTTTGAAAATATATTATTATAATTATCAAATATGGCAGCGTCACTTATTAATTGAAACACTGTAGTAAAGAGATACAATGCTTCGATAATTTCATTTGATTAGTTATTTTTCCCACTATTCTTATACAATTTTCACTAAATTCAATATTTCACTATTCAACAATTACACGTTATAAATTAATCTTGTACTCAATTACGTTATTTGGTTTCTTCAATTAATTGGCAAGTTATTAGTTAAGTTTTATTTAAAAATTTAAAACTCCATAATTATAATTTTCATATTAATATTATATATTATTTTTCTTAGCTTTGAAAATCTTTGCTTTTTGTATTTTTCTGTAACTTTCTCTTTTCGAAATTTTCCTTTTGAAATTATTATAATTCAACTTTGAATTTGTTTTTCTTTTATCTCATTTTCTACTTTCAAAGACAAACGCAACTTCACTCATGCAATTGAAGTCTAAAACCAACAGCAAGATATTCTAGCAAACAAAAAGAGAAAGAGGAGAAAGAAATATGAATAAAACAGAAAGCCAGCATGCGTCTACATTATCATTAAGTCAACCCTCAACTTCGTATTGTATCACGCAATAGCGTTGCTATCACATGTTATTTTATAAAAGAGTCCAACATCCAAATAATATCTCACAGTTGATGAAAATGACATGCTCTGCAATCAGTGAATTGATAATGACGCTTTCGGACATTCTATAATTTCGTGTTATTTGCTGCCAGTTGTACGCTCAGAAATCAATGGCATTGCGTGCCACGTTCCAGTCTGTTATAGTCTTTGGCGATTCAGACACGAATAATCATGTTAGAGAATTTTCTACGAGAATATAATATCAATCGGATATTGTTGTTGACCACAGGTCACTGGCCGTATCAGAATAAATTCCTAAAAAATGTATTATGGATGTTTTGCTTTTTACTCGAAATAAGTTATTATCCATTTGAGGTAATATGCATTTATCGACATATTCCATCAAAATAAATAAAAAATACTTTCAATCAGTGATTGATAAATCTTACAAAATAATTTTTACTATTGTTTTTAATCGTGCACAACGTACATAATATCAATAATATAAATATAGCATAATATAAATAATAAATGTAATATTTTACATGCCATGTGTTCAAATACGTTTTTAAAATATAAACAACATGTTTCAATGTAACATATTTTATAATTAATGATAGCTCAAAGAAGAATATAAATTTTGATTTGTAATACATATATTTGTAATACATATAAATTTGTATACTTTAAGAACAATATGATTCTACATTGTATACAGATATTGCTGTTGTACGATCATTCGGACGATCCGCAATTGATATTTGAAGGAAGCTATCAAATTTTAATTTTGAGCATTTTTCTCGTAAGGCATTTAAATAGTTTTTTAAACTATGACAAGGTACATATGTTTTAAAATCGTGCTATTTTTGATAGCGTAATTTCTTTATTATGTTTATCTCGGTATATATATAAATATTTCAGATATAATATGTATTAAATCGCATTCCTCCATGTTTGTTGTAATCAGATGAGGTGGATGTACGAAGCGATTGATGAGCATTGGAATATATTTACGGATGATATAGAAATTCAAGTCATGAAAGAATATTCTACGTTGTCGCGAAAATTTGTGACATATTATGCACGTGAGTATATATTCTTATAATATGGAGCATTAACGATGCACTATATATGATAAAACAACAAACTAAGTAATTAAATTTTTTGCAACTTAAAAATAGAATAATTGAGAAATCTAGATTTTTGCTATAAAAAATTAACATATTACGAAAGAAAAATTAAAGTGAATAGAATTTTTGTTAAATATAAATTTGTTATACATAAACTAAATAGTAATATGTAGTTTAAATTTAAAACTGCTTAAAAAGTTGTCTTTTTTTATTAAAAGTATCTTTCTTTCATAATATTACAGTATTATGTTTTTCCATATTATTGATGGTTATAATAATGCCATTAATACCGATATTCCTAGACATCATAATGCCTCTTAATGAAACACGTCCGCGATTCTTCGCGGTCGAAATTGAATTCAGGGTGAATAAAAATGACTACTTTGTAGCAATTTTTTGTTACATTACTATTGTAATTATAGTGGGTGCATTCATTACGTTAGGCATTGATGCAACGCATATCGCATGCACTGCTCATGCATGCAGTTTATTTGCGGCTGTCAGGTAATCAGACATGAAGATAACATTTGCATAATATGTATAATGATATTATTATTCCAATTATTTAAACGAAAAAATTCTAATTATATATATATTTTTTTCGCAAGTATGTGTGTGCGCGCGCGTCTTTGCGCTACGTGTTACATTTATTTTATTTGATTTCTGCAAAATATATTCTGTAAAATTTATTTCGCAGAAAGCAAATCGAAAATATAATGTTAAAAGTGAATGGCAAAAATAATAATATTAAAAAAAATAAGTATAGTAGAAATAGGAAACTTAATTTGTCAAACGAAGAACTGATATACCGGGAATACATAATATGTTTAAAAAAACATCAGCTGGCTATAGAGTAAGTAACTTTTATCAAATTATTGTCTTTTATAATATTAGTATAATATTTTTAATTATACTTAAAATTAACGTATTAATATATTATAGATTTGTCAACATGTTAAATTCATCGTATCATGGATGTGCATTAGGTATATTAATAATACTTCTTGGACTTCTGAGTCTGATTGGGCTTCGAGTATGTATCATACATAATTGTATATAAATGATGTGACTTTTTCTCCAGTACAATATATAAATATACAATTATATAAAATATTAAAAATTGTAAAATAGCTGAATTTCGATATTCATTGATTCGAGGTTAACTTAAATTGCTTTTAATTATATATATATTATAAATATAAATATATATACGTTTAAAATAAAAATGTAATTATATATATAATTATATATTCTGAATAATTATGTAGTATTTTTAATCTTTTATAGATTATTGATGTATTAGATGAATTGGGAACATTAGTCAAATTTGTGCTTCTATTCATATCGGCGTTATTCGCTTTGATGATCACATGTTACTCCGGTCAAAGAATAATGGATGAAAGTCAAAATGTATCCCACGGAACGTAATAAATATTTTATACATTATATCTACATACACATTAGAATTTATGAAGCTTTTCTTTAAACAAAATTATAAAGCAATAGTTATTTATAAGCATGGCACATGATTTTTTAAATATAAATATAAATATAATTTTTATTTATAATTATTTTTACATAAAACGTAATTTAAAAATGCAATTAATATAAATAACTTAATTATAAATAATTTAAGTACCTTAAATCTTAGAGATTATTTTGTAATAAATTATTATACATATATGTATATCCATCATGTTACACATACTCGTAAAAAATATTTCAATTTTCCATTAGAAGATAATTTCTCTTAAAAAATTTACTTAAAGTCAATTATTGAACTTACGCAATTGCAGATACGCGACAGAATGGTACCAATTTTCACCAAGACTAAAATCATTAGTGTTAATAACTCTTTACAGAAGTAATGTACCGTGCGGATTAAAGGCGGGCAATATAATTCCATTATCCATCACAACTTATGCAATGGTAATTAAAATTCGCAATATTTGTTTTTTCTAAAAATATTGTATATACTATATATAATTTATATGATTATTTTAAGGTAGTACGAATGTCTATGTCTTACTACACAGCCTTATTATCAATGCAAGGCTGATTATTGAGTGTTCAATTAGTTCACCGATCTTCACCTCGTCTCAATGACAATAAATTGTAATTAAGAGACTGAGGATGTCTACCCGATGATGCAGTTGTAGCGTTGTATTTGATCAGTAACTCTTTATACTGTCTCTATATATTTTTCGCGTAACACAATATTTTAGTAATTGTATTACAAAGTAATCTATTAGAAATCTAGTTTTTGTTAATGCTGTTTGTTCTTTTTTATTATTTTATCGATCAGTAATCAGATTATTCTTTATATATTAAAACATCCTAATATTATTATTTTTACGTTAGTATCATTATTTTTGTTAGTTTTAAAAATCTTTAGAATTAATTTTAGCTTTTTTATATTTCTTTTATTATAATTCTACTCTTTTTGAGCTTGTTTTCTTTACCTATGCCTTATCATTTCCTATTTTCAAAGATAAACTTAATTCCATACGTATAATCGAAATGCTTAAAATTATCTGCAAGATATTTTAGCAAACGGGAGACAGACACTTGAATGAGACAAAAAACCAGCCAGCACGCGTCTAGATTATTATTATGGTCACCCCCTCAACTCTCTATTGTATCACGCTGCAGTATATAGCATACATAATTATAATATGTCACGCTGTAACATGTAAAAGAGACCAATAAATGATAGTTCAGAGAAAGAGAGAAAGAAATGATAGTTTAGTATCAGACGCTCTGACATCAGCGAATTAATATGTATATTGACAGTGACGGACATCTTACAATTTCGTGTTATTTGCACCATGACTCATACATCGAAGATCAATAATATGCGTAGCACGTGGTCATTCTATTGTAGTCCTTCGATGGGGAACCAAGACGAATAATCATGCTAAAAAATTTTTTGCGAGAGTACAATGTTAACCGGATATTTCTGTCGATGGTAGGCCTTTGGCCGTTTCAAAATAAGCTCGTGAGAAATTTTTTACGAACCTTCGTCTTGCTGCTCGAAATAAGTTACTTACCCTTCGAGGTAATGCGTATAGATCAACATATTTTAGATTGAAAATATACGTCAAATTTGTTGTTATAATTTTAAATATTGTTATTTATTTTATAACATACGTATGATACTCGACGAGCCTTGTACGTATAATGTGTGTGTATACGTTCCTTAACATGAAAAGTTCATAATGCAACATATTTGATATAAAAATTAAAAACTAATAAACATGCACAAATACACACAAATGTATACAATAGTTTGCATTTAATCGTGCATAATACTTATATACACATTTTCTATACTTATATATTTGTACATATTTTACGAACGATTGTTCAACGTTACATTCAGATAATGTTAATGTACGATCATTGGGACAATCCACAAATGATTTTTGATGGCAGCTATCAACTTGTTATGTCGACCTCTTTCATTGGAAGGCAATTGAATGGGCTCTGGAACTACGACAAGGCAAGTTTTTACAACTAAAACATGTTACATTTCCTTTCCTTTTTTACTTACGTTTACTGCGGTAAAACTATTTCAGACTTAACATGTTAAACCGTTTCCATGTTTGTTGCAATCAGTTGCTACGGTTGTACAAAGCTATTGATCAGCATTGGGATATATTTACGAACGATATGGAGGTTCAAATTATGAAAAATTATTCTATGCTATCACGAAAATTTACGAAATATTACTCGAGTAAGTATACATTGTAAGATTTTTATAAGCAGCACTGTAGTATTTACTACTTTGAAATTAATATATGTATAAACTATGCAAGAAAAACAGCGTTTAATTAAGTTTTGTTTAAAGAAAAATCAAATAGCTCTAAAATATATTTTAGATTGATATTTTTAAATACACTTCTCTTTCGGATATTGCAGTGCTAATGTGTAGTATAATGTCGATACTGACACTAACACCATTAACACCAGTATTGCTGGACACCGTGATGCCTCTTAACGAATCACGTCCGCGATTCTTTGCGATCGAAATCGCAGCCAGAATGAATAAAGATGATTACTTTTTACCAAATTTTTGTTATACTACCATTGTAATTGTGATTGGTGCAAGCATCGTGATGAGCGTTGATGCAATGCATGTCGCTTGCACCGCTCATGCATGTAGTTTATTTGCCGTTATAAGGTATATTTATTAAATAATATTGTTATAAATATTTTATAAAACAATAATTTTATATATTTTCCGCACTTTTATTTAACGATGTTTCGCGTGTTTCTAATACACGCATATTTTATTTAACTTTTGTGAGATATTACATTTACAGTAAACAAATCGAAAATATAATTTCAAATAATAATAAAATCAGCGAACGTAGATACCACGCGAATGTGGAACTTGATCCATTAAATGAAGAAATAATATATCGGGAGTACATAATATGTTTAAAAAAACATCAACTTGCTATAGAGTAAGCAATTTTATTGTTTTTTAATTATCTCTCTATTTAAAATACTTTTCCCTCTCTCTCCCCTCTCTATGCATTATGAATATAATATTACTGTTATATAAGTTAATTTTTATTAACTCCCATTTTAGGTTTGTTAATACATTAGAGTCATCATATCAAGAGCTTTCATTACTTTTGATAATCTTGCTTATTGGAACTATAAGTTTG